GAAGAGGTTATTTAATGTTTTACTTTGTCATTAAAAGCCATTGTATATAGGTCCTTGTCATTTATCTTTTAAAAGACAATGTGTTAGTCTGCACCGGGGCTTAGTGATTTAGTCTTAGAATTTGGAGATTAGTAGGAATCAGTTTAGTAAAACTCACTTATAATCGTTGAGAATATATTTATGTCAGAGTCTTCTTACAAGGTCTCATGTGTCTTAAATGTAAGTCAAAAAAACAGGGCGTAGCAATTTCAGTATTAAAATAATACAGGTGAATGTAAGGCATCGTAAACAATGGTATTACCATCTGAAGGAATAAATGCATCAACAGAGATTTGGATGTGTGGAGTACAGAAAGAGGGGACCCAGTGAGCAGGAAGGGGAGGAAATTAAGGAGTGTCTGCTGTGTGTTTTTTCCTATTCCTTGTTGTATTCCTATTTAAAATATTTTGCTGTATGTCCTTTGGGTTTTCTGTGCAGAAATATTACCTGTGACAGAATATTTTTTTAACTTTGTTTTTCTTATACTTTAATCTCATTTTTATCTTATTTTACTTTGCTGGCTAGGACATTCAGTGCAATCAAATAAAAGTTTGGGTAGTGAGCATCCTTGAATGTTTCCTTCATTTTGAAGGGAATGCTTCTGTACCTGCTTCTATTGAATGCTTTATACAAATTTTCTTTAGTAATAGGTAAACTATGTGGGTAGGATTTTCAGATGTTAAACTCTTCTCATTTCTGGAATAAGTACAGTTATGATGAATTCTTTCCATTTTTTAAATATTGGTGAGTACCTTTGCTAATACTTCAATAAAAGAGTCTGTTCATGAATGTGCTTATTAGCCTATGACTGTTTTCTGTAGTAATCATTCATTCTGCTTTGGACATTTTGAATTGGAAGTATTTGGCAGTCAATGAAAAATTTTATGTGGTGTTAGAAACTGGGTCTTGAATACTTAGTAACCTGGTAAAGGCTGACCATATGAATTTTGATATAATGGCTAAGAAAACATGTTGGGTGATGTTGAATAGGAAAAGTATTATAAAACAAGAATGGAAGTAAGGACAAATACATTTTCGAATGCAGAGATGATGATCAAGTCAAGGCTTGTGGGAAAGGCAAGTGTGAAGAAGAGAATTTCAGAGCAGCGTAGTTGCCGCTTTTCATTGTGGCGGGTGGTGGAGCGAGGTGAGCAGCGAGGTTAAGGCAGGTGGCAGCAGCAGTAGTCTGAGCAGGTACGCTGGGAAGAGGGAGCAGAGGGTGCCGGTGAAGGGTGAAGGTGACGCTGGGCGGAGTTTGGGTTTTTGAAGACCTTTATTTTGTTGGTGAAGACTAAAGGTCTAGGAAAGAGGAAGAGAGTAACTACAAAGGGCAGCTCTCTGGAAATCTACCGAAACCGTTACTAATCTAGATGTCAGTGTATTTTTTAACATTTACTTACATATTCTCAAAAAGATAGAAATAAAGGGATGATGACTAGATTAGCCAGGAATGATGGAAAGGAGGGGAGGTTAACTTGAGGGAACAACATGAGTTACTTGCCCAGATGCTGCTCTTGTTCCACTGTATAGGGAAGCAGATAGATTGCAAGACGTCACTGGGTGTGGCCTTCGTCCTTGAGGACACAAGTATGGAGGAGGAGGGTGAAGAGGGTAGGGAGGAAGGAAACTGAAGGACTTGTCTGCGCTCAGATTCACTCAGAGCAGTCTTGTGGGCTGGCGGAGACTCTGTATGCGCAGACACTCGGCTCATGTTATGCAGCGCAGGACAGTGGCGGTCTTCCGTGGGCCTCTTGGCCGCACGGTTGGAGGCACATGCCTCTGGGTGAGGACATGCCAAGGGGCTTGTCACTGACGAGTTAGGGCAGTGTTGTCGGACATCTCTGTTGCAGAGCTTCGTGAGCCTTTAAAATACCTGTGTGCATTGTCAAGTTCCAGAGAAGCAGACGTGGAACTTGTGGTGACCCTTGTTCCTTGCCTGACCTTTTAGACCTCATGAGCTCTAGCATGTGACCTGTCATACTACCGGTTAGAGGTTCATTGGCACGTGAAGCTGCTTTCCATGGCGATGGCTGTGCGCTGCTCTGCCCCGTCGAGTGCTGGTGCCATCCGTGATGCTCACTGCTTGGACTTAGAAACGGAAGCTGTGGCGGCTCCTTCTAGGGTTATCAGGACAGAAACTGCCTCTGTAGGATCAATGCTCTCTGACATGACTCTTCTTTGGGGGTGATCCCCGCCCTGTGTCCTGATTGCAAGCTTGTTTGGTCAGCGAGTGAGCGGGGGAAATTCTCAGCTGGAAGTGATAGGAAGTGACAGAAGTGAGACCTGGCAGCCGGCAGTTGACGGCGCTGGCGGCGGCTGAGGACCTGCAGGTGTTTTGCTTCTTTCATGTCCTCCCCAACAGCGGAAGCCCCCAACATTTGGAGACAGGAGTAGGTGGTGGCCAGGTTTGGTCTTCGTAGCTAAACGGGCCTTTTTGCAAATGATCCAGTAGTCCTCTGTTCTCTCTGTGTGAAGTTAGGGCTATGGGTCCCCTTCAAAGGCATCTGGAAAGATTTGATTGTCACAGCCTGTGGTATCTTTCAGCTCCCTTGGTTGGGAGGTGAAGTGTCATTGGAGGGCTGTTGAGTACTCTGTCTGCCGGGTCCTACCCACCAAGCCTTCATTCAGCGCCTGGTGGGGAGAGGCGGCCCTGGCCAGCGGGGATCTCCCTGACAGACCCGCCTGCAGTTTCTCTGAGAGGCACTCAGAGGCCTCCCTGGCCTCCCTGGCCCTATTTCTCCCACACTCAGCCTTCGCGGCCCCGTGAGGTCTCCTCACCCCAGAGGCCTTGGGTGTTCCCACATCTCTGGTTTTGCTCCCTACTCTTCTCGCCCCTGTGTTTCTCATCAGCCCCTTCTTGTAGCTCAGTGATTTTTTTTTAAAACTTGGCATTTTATTTTTGATATTAAACTTTACATTGATATTTTTCTTGTTTGGCTTACATTTCTATGATTTTTAACACATGCACACATTTGTGTAACCATCACTAAAAGTAGGTTACGTAGCAGTGCTGTTATTCCGAAAACGCCTGTCATTCCCTTAACCTCTCCTCTACAGCACTGCTGGCCGATCTGTTCATCACCCGTCATTTTGTCTTTTTGAGAATAGCGTGTCAAAGGAATCATGTAGAATAAAACCTTTTGAGACCGACTTCTTTCACTCACATAATAACTTTGCAATTCATTCAACTTGTGTCTATTAATTTTTTTATTACTGAATAATGTTCCATATGTGTTTCATATCACAGCATAAAGACTGGTTTAAGCCCATATTTGTTGAAGGACATCTAGATTGTTTCCAGTTTTTATTCTGATTATGAGAAAAGCTGGCTATAAACATCTGTGAATAGGGTTTTATTTTCCAATTTTTTTTTTATTGTAGCATGATGCTCCTAAAAGATGGTTTATTATTCCCCCTTTGGGTGTCCAGCACAGGGGGTGCTCAGCACCATCACCATACACCTCTCTAGAGCTCTGTAAAACTCTGCACCCATTAGACAGGAACTCCTGACTCCTCCTCCTCCCTCAGGCTTTGGAAAACACATTTCTGATTTCTCTTTCTATGATTTTTTTTTTTAAGATTTATTTATTTGTGCATACAGAACTGGGGTACAGGCCAGAGGCTCAGGGGCAGTGAGAGGCTTCACCAGAGAGAGTGGAGAACAGAACAGACAGATCGACGAAGTACACTGCTGAGGGGAGCCGCGGGCGGGTCAGGAGAGGTCTGCCACGACATGTGGTCACCTCCGGGGCAGGCAGGAATCGAACTCATGCGCAAGTGGCTTTAGATTCTCAGTGCTGTGCTTTAACCCGCTGCGCCACCAGGGAGGGCCATCTCTTTCAATGATTTTTAACTACTCTAAATATATCCTAGAAGTGGGACCAACCACATCGTCTTTGTGATAGGCTGGTGTAACAGTTTTTGTGTGAAGACAAGCAGTATTTTCTTTGAGATAAATGAAGTTGGGTAAGTGCACCTGCTGGATTCTATTATGGTTTCATGTTTTGGTTTTTAAGAAACTACTAACCTTCCAGAATGATTGTACCATTTTGCATTCCCACTAACATGTTCTAAGTCCAGCTGTGTGCAGTTTGATTTAAGTCTCTGGAGAGATGACTCTGGTCACTATTGGGTTAGATGTTCTCCCTTGGAGTGGTCATTGTGGGCCGATGGGGAAAATAAATCACCACTTCTGTATTCATCCTTGTGAGGTGGGGTGGAAGTAGAGAGAACATTAGATTCTCAGAAGTGGGGCTGAGTCGAGAACCAAGGAGGCGTGGACTGCATTAGCAGTTTCTAAACTGGTGTGTGCACAGCTGTCACCTGGGAAGTTTGAAGTAATGCAAGTTCATGGGTTGCATACAGACCTACTGAATTGGAGTTCACATATTTTACAAGAGCTGAAGAGTTACAGGTAATCATGGGCACAGAACCACTGTACCTATGGTAAACTCGGCGGCATTTCTAAAACTTAAGGGTCAGAAGAATATTGTGACACATGAAAGGTTTTCCATCCTCTCATCTTTTCCACTTATTTCTCATTGACCCAGTGTGTCTGTACTTGTCCCTTCTCAGCTACTTAATTTTACTTCTAACTTTTCTCCCCGAACTAGCTTCTTACTGGCCTCTCTTTCATTAGCTTGTTCAGCCCTATGTTCCTGACAACTGCCTTCTCTGTTTGCTCTGGCTCTGAAAGTGCGACTCCCTCCCCAGGCTCCTGCTTCTCTGCGGTGAGGAGCCAGCCAGTTCTTCAGCGCCCAGGCTTGCTGTCCTCTCATCAAGTCGCGCTGGTCATGTTCCTGCGGAAGACGGTGCCGAGACTCATAGAGCGTTCACACCTGTAGTGCAGGAATACAAATTGCTCTCAGGGTTTCTGGTAGAAAAGTTGAATTTTAGGTTAGAAGATTTAAGTTTTTGAGGACCATTCTTACTAGTTTTTTTTTTTTTTCCTCCTCTTCCAGGGATGAAGAAGAGCGTTTGAGAAATAAAATTCGAGCTGATCATGAGAAGGCTCTGGAAGAAGCAAAAGAAAAATTAAAAAAGTCGAGAGAGGAAATCCGAGCAGAAATTCAAACAGAGAAAAGTAAGGTACTCCAGGAAATGAAGACGAAAGAGAAAAAGCCACTGCCTCCAGTCCCTGTACCAAACCTCATAGGAATAAATGGTGGGGACCCAGAAGATAATGACATAAGAAAGAAAAGGGAAAAAATTAAAGAGGTAATAGACACGCTGCAGACTGTGTCCGGACATGTACTGGGGTGTGTGGGTACATTAGTCACACACGCAGATACACTAGAGGTGTTGTCTCTGAGTCACAGTTGTAGTTCTTTTTCTAAGTTGGCAGTAAGAGCTAGAACTCTTTTTTTTTTAGTTTGGATTATAGTGTAATTATTGGACCCTTAAAATTTACTGTGGCGTTTGGATGGTCACATTACTCACCATATGACCAGAGAGCTTTTGATATTCGATGTTTTATAAATAATTTAGAATAGTGCCATAAATAATTTATCTTTGAATAAGAAATCTCTCCAGTGCTTAGTTACAAGGGACTTGGCGAGACATTCCACGATCTCATAAACATGATTCTGAGCAGTTCGCTTTGTGTCTGCCGTCTCTGAAGGACCCTGTCACGCCCTCGTGTGGTGAGGACACCTTCCCTCCAGAGAGCGTGAGTGGATTCAAGAGTGGAAGGCTGATGTCAGAGTTTTTTTTAAATTTGTTGAGCTTCAGAAGTCTTCCAGTTTGTTATTCTAGGACCGCATGGAGAGAAGGCGAACCAGAGGGTAGAAACATCTAGTGAATATTTTAGTTAAACTTGGTTAATTAGTACTCTTGCTCATTCTGGGTGAGACTGCAGTTCCAACTGTCTGGGAAAGTTAGGATTTTGTCAGTAATCGCATCAACGGTATTTCAGAGAGCATGTCTAGCATGAAAAAAGATAGTAAACTTACTTCAAATAATCCTATCTATTTGGACATATTTCTAGTTATGAATATGGACAACTTAGCAGATATTTTAAGCTTGTTCTTATGAATCGTTGCAAGGCCTTGACCTTGATGAAATGAAAATAGAAATGTATTCTTATTTCACCTTATCTTTGGCGTCTGTTTTATGTTCAGGCTGCTTAAGGCATTGTACTTGGACAGTGTTCGGGATTAATAGATTTTTCTTAAGATTCCTCGCTTTTTTGGTAAGATGGCACTAGAATTTATTGAAATGTATATAATGTATAAGATAACATTATGTAAACATTTAGAAGACCCAGAACTACTCACAGCTCAGATATCTGGTAGAAACACTCACAGAACCCAGAGAAGCTATTGTTTTCTGTTGAGGTTTATTACAGCAAAAATATAAGATTAAAATCACTAATAGGAAAGGCACATACGACAGAACCCAGGAGAGACCAGGCACAAGCTTCTGGTGGTTCTCTTCAGTGAAGTTCTCTGAACAGTGTAGTTGCTTTGCATATCAGCAGTACCTGGCAAATGTGTAGAAATTATTACTATGCGGGAAGTTTACCTGAGGCTTGATATCCTAGGCTTTTACTGGGAGTCAGTATATAGACTTGGCTAATGTTCTCCAACTCCTCCAGAGTGCAAACTGGTATGACATGGTCTAAGGCATCGCCTGCTGCATCCCCCACTGTCCCCGGTAAATCATTGTTACCAAAAGCTGTCGGAAGTAGTCTAAAACTTTAGGTAAACAAAGATAATCTAAACAGGTGGAATGGTGAAGGCTTAGAGGTTATTTCCCGGAACATGGCATTGGCGAGACCTGTCTTTGGGATGTGGAGGGCTGGGACAACCCAGGCCTGGAGTTAGCCCCTGTGCAGTTCCTGTTAAGGAGGCAGGCTCAGTTAGTAAGTCTTGGTCATTCACTGGCAGTCTTTATCTGGTAAGTACTTCATTCTTAAGTGAAAAGAGAACATTTGAGAACATTTTTCACATAATAGAACAAAACGGGGAAGAAAGGATATAGAAATAACACAGGGAACAGGAAAAATATATAAAGAATTAACATCTTTGCAGTGACAAAAATTCAATTCATGAAATGAGAATAGTAAGTTACAAAAAGGGAACATTTACAGTATGAGAAATAACGCTTAGAAATTACTAATATGAGGGCCCTCCCAGGTGGTGCAGCGGGTTGGAGCACAGCACAGAGAGGCTTAAGCTACTTCCGCATGAGTTCAATCCCCGCCTGCCCCGGGGGAGGTCCACTTGTCGAGGCAGACCTCTCCTGACCCGCCCGCTGCTCCCCTCAGCAGTGTACTTCATCGGTCTGCCTGTTCTGCACCCCGTTCTGTCTCTGGTGAATCCTCTCACCCTCCGCATCTCTGGCCTGTACCCCAGTTGTGTACAAATAAATAAATCTTAAAAAAAGAAATTACTAATATGGTAGAAGTTAAAAATTGAATAGAAGAATTGAAAGGTAAAATTGAATAGAAGTCTGAGGACAAAAAGATTGAGAAAAACGCTAAGATCAATCCAGAATATCCAACAAGTGATTAGATGTCCAACAGGAAAAATAGAGGAGAAGAAGTCAGAGAAAAATTAAGGAAAATCAGCTAAAACTAAAAGATGGGAGATTCCAGATTGAAATGACCTGCGAGGCACAGTAAACAGAGAAGGCCCAACTGAAATGTGAGGAAAGTAGTGGTTAAAGAAAAGATCCTAAATACCTAAGAAATAAGAAAATAAAATGATTCCATGCGGAAGATTGGGAGTGTATTCATGGGATCAGTATATCAGATTCTTCAACAACAATATTAGAAACTAGGAAAGTGTGGAGCAGAGGCTTAGAAATATTTCAGATCGTATTGTCAGTCAGATCTGAGGGCAAAGATCTTGTTAGACACTTTCTCAGCTTTCTGCTGGAGAACATATTTCAGTACCAAAATAGTAAGAATTGCTAAAGAATTGTGGAAACATGGGACCTGTTACAGAGAGAGCCACAGGCATCTTCGGGAATGTGATGGGAGTCGGCATTTTGCTGTGCTTCAGGCTGGCCATGGAGAGGTCCAGGCACAGCAGGAGGGTGGAGGGCGTTAGGACGCCCACCTCAGTGTATAGGATGGACTGACAGTTTGTTGGATGTGGTTGGCAATCTTAAGATAGTTTTGAAAATCAAGTATTTTTTACATTAAAAATTATGCTAACAGGACCTCCCTGGTGGCGCAGGGGTTAAAGTCTGAGTGCTATCGAGTTACTGCCAGCAACTGTGGCACAGTTCCTTCAGTCCAGGGAGTGACCCACAGGGCACAGCAGACCTCTCTCGTCTCCTTGCAGTACCCTCTGCAGTGTGTTTCAGTAGACTCACCTGTTCTGCTCCCACTGTCTATGGTTAGGCCTCTCATCTCCCACCCCCTCTATACCCCAGTTCTTGTATGCATACATGAATATAAATAAATCTTAAAAAACATACAATTAAAAAATAAGCCCTGGTGGCGCAGCGGGTTAAAGCACAGCACTGAGAAGCTAAAGCCACTTTCGCATGAGTTCGATCCCCGTCTGCCCCGGAGGAGATCCACATGGCGTGGCAGACCTCTCCTGACCTGCCCGCTGCTCCCCTCAGCAGTGTACTGCGTTTATCTGCCTGTTCTGCTCCCCACTCTGTCTCTGGTGAATCCTCTCACCCTCCGCATCTGTGGCCTGTACCCCAATTCTATATGAATAAATAAATAAATCTAAAAAAAAAAACAAAAAAAACTAAGCAAACAAATTCAAACCCTATACCAGCAGTTAATAGCAGAGAAAACAAAAGTTGAACAAATACTGTAATAATTATAAGAAAAATATATTGTTAATTATATTGGGAGGATGTGAGCCAGGAATATGTATAGGGAAGTAAAAGTGAAGGTAAGTCGACAGTGGCTGTGTGAGTTAAATTATCTTAACTCCCAGGAGAATGTAGTGCATATTTTAAAAATATTTTTTTAAAAAAATCAAGAGACAGTACTATATATTTAGAAATACAGTAGTAAAGAGATGAAACAGTTGAAAGAATTTAAGTAATTCCCTCATGAGAGTGGAAATTGCCAGTGGGGGAGATATGGCAACCTATTTGACTGTTTTAAAATTCAACTTTATTGTGTCACTTATTAATATATAAAACAGTGTACCTGTTTTAAGAATACAGCTTAAAGTTTTGACAGGTGTGCATACCTGTGTCACGGCAACTGTGACTAAGATGTGACTATTCCATAGTGTCACAACGGTTTTCTCGTGCCCTTCTCCGTTCAATCCACCCCTCTCCTTGCTCCCAGACGACTTCTGTGTTTAGTCACTCTGGGTTAGATGGGTCTCTTCTCAGGTTTCAGTCAAGAGGAACCTTTAGGTATGTGGTATTTTGTGTCTGGACCTTTGCTCAGCAGGTTTTTGAGATTCACTTATGTACACTGTTGCATACAGCTGACTTTTCTTGGTAGTCCATTAAGTAAATACAAACCATGGTTTATTTCATTCATTCGCTGATTAAATATTGTCAACATTTGTTCTGGTTTGGGACTCTTAGGAATAGAGTTGCCGTGAATCACTTTTGTGTAAGTGTTAGTGTGTGCACATTTTAGATTTAGTTTGACATCTCAGTCTGTGATCTGTTGTGAGTTCACTTTTTTTGTTATGTGAAATAAGAGTTGTGCTTCTTTTTTTTTACCAGTAGGATGTTATAGTTGATCCAGCGTCTTGTTGAAAAGGGCTTTTTCCTGATGAGTAATTTGGTACTTTTGATCATATCAATTGACATGATTAATAGATACTGAGTCTCTTTCTGGATTCATGCCTGTTCTTTGTATCTGCCTATCTTTACTGCTAATATGACATGTTGATTACTGTAAACTCAAGTTTTGAAATCAGGTAACTTCAATTTTTTAAAAACTAGTTTTGCCACTTTAATGTCTTCTGCCACTCTAGAATTAGTTTTTCTAGAACATAAAAGGTTGATGGGATTTTCTTTGGGATCTCATTGAATTTAGAGATGGATTGGGAAGAATTGTTAGCTTAATAACATTCATCCTTCCATTCTAATATGCACATTACATCTTCCCAATTATTTAGGTATCCTTTAATTTATAAGTCATAGGATTTAGTTCTTTTACATAGTTATATGATGCTTATTTTTAAGTATTTTATGTTTTTGAAGCTGATGTAAATGATTTTACATTTTTCTTAAAAATTAATTTGTTGTTTTTTAAAAAAGATTGATTTATTTATGCATACAGAACTGGGGTACAGGCCAGAGGTGTGGGCGCAGTGAGACAGAGTGGGGAGCAGGATAGGCAGGTCAGTAGTACACTGCTGAGGAGAGCAGTGGGTGGGTCAGGGAGAGGTCTGCCGTACCATGTGGGTCACCTCTGGGGTGGGGATCGAACTCATGCTGAAGTGGCTTTAGCTTCTTAATGCTGTGCTTTAACCAACTGTGCCACCAGGGAGGGCCCTAATTTGTTGATTTTTAATTGAGGTAACATTGGGGTATCCCCATCAGGTATTACCACCCTAGGGCACTCACCACCAACTGCCGATACTCCACTAGCTCAGACCATGTGCCTTCCTTCTTTCCTCCTTGTTTTTAATCTCCAACCTTTACCTCTTGGTGTGTTAGTTCTGTAGTTAGCTATCAAGGGCTCGTTACTCAGTTTGTCTTTATCTAACTATTAATTTAGTTACTTTATATTCTACATGGTAGTGACACCATCTGGAATTATGAATGGATCATGGCGATGCGATGTGTGTACACAAAAGAGTTCTACTCAGTGATTAAAGAAAAAGATGAATTCATGCTTTATGCAGCAACATGGTTGGAGCTTGAAAGGATAATGTTAAATAAAGATGTTAAAGAAGAAGAAAGATAAAACTGGATGAAATTGTTTTTTAATTAGCTGTTGTTCACTACTAGCATATGGAAATGTTTGGTTTAGTTTGCTGAACTTGTATTCCATTACTTTGGTACAGTCATTTATTACTTCTAGTGGAGTTTTTCTTTTGCAGATTATATGGAATTTTCTTTTTACAAATAATTAAGTCTTCTGTGAATAGAGTTACTTTTTTCATTTTTATGACTTATATTTTTCTTGTCTTATTGAACTGGCCGGGACTTCTAGAACATAGGTGAAATGATGAGAATGGACATACCTGATTTGCTTTCAACTTTAGGGATTAAGCATCTAGTCTTTTATTAATTCTAATGTTAGTTGTGTTTTTGAAGATTACTTTTTTTAAGATTGAGGATGTGTCCTTGTACTTATAGTCTCCTGATTTTTTATCATGACTGGGTGGTTCACTTTGTCAAATGCTTTATCTGCAACTATTCATATAAAAATGATTGTGTTATCCCCTCCCTCCTCCTTTACCTCAGTGTTAATGTGGTAGATTATATTAATTGGCTTTTGAATATTAAGTCAGCCTTATATTCCAGGGCTAAACTGTACTTGGTCATTGTGTAGTGACCTTTTCACGTAGTACTCATTTTTTAAAAGTACTTTTACTCTCAAAAAATCCGTGGTTTTAAGATTTAGTATTCTTTTATTTCCTTGTAATACCTTTCGCTGGTTTTGGTGTCTTGAGTATTGCTGGTTGTAAAACAAAAACACATTGAGAAATGTTTTAAGAATAGTATACTATTGAATGAAAAGTTTTTTGATATGCTATAATATACTAATAACTAATTCAGCTGATATGTAAGTAATACTCTGCTGTTGTGTAATTGAAAAAACTCCTTGAGTTGTAAGAAACTGATTTCAAACTAATGGATATAAAAATATTTGTTAGATTAGTGGTTCTAAACTAGGGCTTCACGTTTGACTAAATTCAAATGTTCTGTAAATACTGTCAATAACATGCATCTTCTTTCTTTTTGTTACCTGGTTTTTCTCTGTTGGGGTTTTAGTAACTATTGTTTTCAAGATTCATTATGGTAAAGTGAAAGCCTCTCTGTAATCTAGTGTCTGCATAAATGGACTTGATTATTGCTACTTGAATTCACCGGTTCCCATCATTTTGTCTAGGCCAGTGGTTGGCAAGATACAATCTAAGAGTCAAATTTGCCTGTTGCTAGTTAAAAAATAATAATAGTCAAGTTTAATTATACCAGAGCCATACTGATTTGTTTATATATATTTTTTAAGGCTGTTTTGGTTTATAGTAGCAGTTATATATTTGCTACAGAGGCCATATATACTACAAAGTCTAAACTACAGAGTTTACTCATCTTTGGTCTAAAGGTAAGGGATTCTCTGTGAGCTTGGGTTAATTGGCTGCAGAATCAGATTCCCTCCGAATGTCAGCTCTGTCATAATCACAGAGAGAGAAGGGGAACTATTCCCAAGGGACTGGCAGTTTCTGAAATAAAGGGATACCAAACAGACACCTTTATCCCCAGTAAAAGAACTTGTTAATCATACACAATTTTTTCTGTTGTGTACACAAAGGTTAAACTTGGGCATGTATGTCACACTTGTTAACAACACTGTTTACAGTGTTCGACAGAAATAGACTATTGTAAGAGATACAGGTAGGACATAGTAATGAATCCCTAAATTACATCAGATATACAGGTATGTTAGTAATGTAAGTTGATGGATTTTCATTTTTCTCAGATGATGAAACATGCGTGGGATAATTACAGGATATACGGATGGGGCCATAATGAGCTCAGACCTATTGCCAGGAAAGGACACTCCACTAATATATTTGGTAAGTTTTCTTTTTCTAATTACTATTTCCATTTTTCTACTTCCACTTATAAAGCAGAAGATATTTTTTTAAATACTTTCTAAAGCCTGAGGATTATGTACTTTTTCATTTCAAATTTAAGTCAAGATTTAGTTATAATTGCTTTGTACTAACAAATACATGGTAGCTTTTCTGTTTATACATACATATGTTTGTGATGTAGATAACTATTTTGAAGCCTTTTGGCATTTTTCTTCCTTATTATTATTATTATTATTATTGTTTTTGATATTCAGAAAGTTGGTAACTGCTTGCAGTTTTCACCCTTCAGTGCTGTCGGCTCTAAAATTCACACCTGATAGAGGATGAGGTGAAGAGCAGGGGACTCTAGTGGGCTGTAGGTCTAGGTCTGAGAAACCACTGACTTCACTCTGACTTTCTACTTCTCTTTAATGCAGTCCTTTTAAAAATTCTCGATTTAAAAGAATTAACGTACAACTGTTGCTTAGCTCAAATAACGTTCTTCAGAATTCCTGTTGTTATTCCTCAGCCCTTTTAAATGCTTCTTGCTGTGAGGGTATTTTTTTTCTTCTTCAATGAACAGATACATATAAATGTCCAATCTGTATAAAATTTGGTACAAAATCTTGTTTTTCTTCTTTCCCCTGCCCCCCCGACATCATCCCTTATACTACTTTACCCTTTTCTCACTCTCCTATCCCTATTAATCTCAGGTGCTTCTTTTGTATATTGCTACTTTTTGTATATTGCTTTGTTGAATTATGTCTTTGTCATTTTAATTGCTTAGCTATAAAGGTTAATTAGACTGAAATTTCCTGCACACAGTACCATCTGAGCTGAGACACTGGGGTGCAAGCGAAAGCCAGAGAAGCAAGAGTTGACATGCATGTGTTCAGTTAGAAGCCAGACATGACTGCTGAACTCTGTGGCAGAAGTCAGGTTCATGACATGCTGGAACTTTTAGTCCTTGGCTCTTGAGATTTCATCAGCATGGAGTTGGGAATTGGGTTCAGAAAGGCATCAGAGGGTAGAGTGCATTCATAAAGTCATTTATTGGTCAGGGGTTTCTTATTCTTCTAACAGTTATACTTACTGATAAGTTGAAACAATTATATGGAGTGCATAAATGTGATCTAAGTTAAGGATAGTAATTTTAAGAACAAATCTGTATAAATTTTTTTTTAAAAAGATTTATTTATGCATACAAGAACTGGGCACAGGCCAGAGGTGCTAGGGGATGAAAGGTTTCCCCAGAGACAGAATGGGGTGCACAACAGGTAGATTGACTGAGATACACTGTCGAGGGGAGCAATGGGTGAGACAGGAGAGGTCTGCTGCGCCCTGTGGGTCACCCCCCCTGGCCAGGGATCAAGCTTATGCTGCAGTGGCTGTGGATTGCTTCATAGTATTGTGCTTTAACTCATTGCACCAAAGAGGGCCCAAATCTATATAGTTTTAACTTATACAGAAGAAGGCACTTTACGTAAGAAAAAAGGGAATGGTAAAAAAGGTGAGGAATAGAAGATTAAGTAAATGAAAAACTTGAACTAAGTAGTGCTGAATGCTGACTGTTTAATATCAACTATTTATTACGAACTAAGTAGTGCTGAATGCTGACTGTTTAATATCAACTATTTATTACTAAATAACTTGCTGATAAGGGAAAGCTGAGATTAATGCTTACCTTGGTAGCCTGTCAGAGAGAGAAAGGACAAAATTGAGATATTTATTGATATTTTAAGTCTGCTTAGGGTGGACCTTTCAGTTGGGGGAGTGATTGGTTTGATAACAATTATGCCGTATTAGTTTAGGGTTAGTAAGTGGAGAATTTGAAGCTAGGGGTTCAAATCATCATTTGTTTTTTTATGTTGAAGAGTCGATGGGTTTTTGAGGAAGTTGTTGGGATGAACATAAGTATATTAAAGTAAAATTATTTTACAGCTTTTGTTTTTCTGGACAAGAGTCTCCTGGTAAAGTCATCTTGGTGAAGATAGTGTTATAATAGGATAATTGTAAATTCATGTCAATGTAGATAGAAAGTTGTGTGGATAATTTTCATTCTCAAAAGATGGAAATAATAATTGTATTCTTGCATTTAAGGAGAACTTTTACGTTTTTTGTTACTTTTTTAGCATACCACTAAATTTGTTTTGCTAATATTTTGCTTGGGGTTTTTATAGTTGCATTCATTAGTAAGATTGACTTGTTTTCTTGACACATGTTTACAGTATCAAACTAATTTAGTTACTTGTAGGCTTTGTGAAATTAGTTGCTTCCTCCCTGAAACATTTCCTTGAAGGTTATTTTTCTTGAGGCCTCCCTGTGGCCGCAGGGTTAAGTCTCAGTGCTATGACCACTGTGGCTTGATTTGACCCCCCACCAGGGAGCTGACCCACATGGCATAGCAGACCTCTCCTGTCTTGCCCAGCTGCTCTCCTTAGCAATGTATTTCAGTAAATACATTGCTCTGTTCCCCACTCTGTCTCTGGGGAATCCTCTAACCCCTGCACCTCTGGCCTGTACCCCAGTTCTTCTATGCAATAAATAAATAAGTCTTTTTTTTAAAAAAAGATTATCTGTCTTGAAGATGGGTAGATATTACTGTTTTGACTTTTCCTTCTGGCATTGTGTTTTATGACTTCTTTCTTCCGTGTGAATTACCTGCTTCGTGATTATGAAGGATTGTTACAGTTTTTGTTTCATGATGGCTATCCGTGCTTGCTGTCTTATGATTTGACTAATCATCTTGAAGCACTCCTATTTCTTGAATTAATCTTCATTTTCTTAAACCTGTTTTAGTAGATAGATATCTTATTATGTGACCAGGAAGAAAGTTAACTACAATTGTAGTTTACCTTTGTATTTGTTATCAATGTGTCATTTTAAGGAAAATATATTAAACTTGAAAATAGAGTAAAGTATAAAATTTATTGTATGGAAAAGTTGGGTATTCTTTTTGGTCCTTATACCACTGCTTTGGTTTACTTTCTATAGACAAAACATTGAAAAAGACCTTATAGGAAGAGCATCTGTTTAATAAATTTTTTTCCCTTCCCAAACATAGGAAGTTCACAAATGGGTGCTACAATAGTAGATGCTTTGGATACCCTTTACATCATGGGCCTTCATGATGAATTCCGAGATGGGCAGAAATGGATTGAAGACAACCTTGACTTCAGTGTGGTGAGTATAAGTGATTATCTTTATGATCAACTATGGAAAGATAACAGTTTATGGCCATAATAGTTTTGACTGTTATGCTAATAATTCAGAAAAATTTTAAATTCCCTTTTCTTCTTTTGGAATTATTGACTATTATTTAATTTTTGCATAAAACACAGACTCCCATCTTTTTACTTTTTTAAAGATTTATTTATTTATGCTTACAGAACTGGGGTACAGGCCAGAGGTGTGGGTGGTGAGAGGATTCCCCAGAGACAGAGTGGGGAACAGAAGAGACAGATGCTCTGAAATATACTGCTGAAGGGAGTAGCAGGCAGGTCCAGAGAGGTCTGCCACACCATGTGGGTCAGCTTCCTGGCCAGCGATTGAACTCGTGCTGCAGGGGCTTCCGAGAGCCTCCTAATGTGGTGCTTTAGCCCATTGTACCACCAGGGAGAGCCCAGACTCCCATGTTTTAAAAAAAATTTGTTTTTGTTATTACTTGAAGCAGTGTGTTAAGGCAGTAGTTAGAAAAAAAGCACATTGAGTAAATGCAGGAAACCATAAACTGCTTTATAAATGATACCTGTGTGTTTCAAAAGATTTGATAATTTTTTATACTTTTGGTAAGACTTTAAAACTAGGCCTGTCTCCATCCTGCAGCATCCTGGCATAGTTGAATTGGTACTGCAGATTTGAAGCCCATCACATGTACATTCTGACTATGCAACTTGGGAAATTTCCTTATTCTTTTTCATCCTTTATAAGGTTGCTATCCCATTGTAATGTTGTAAGGATTATTTGAGGTAATCTGGTAATATTCTTTTCAGTTAAATGGTAGCAATTATTTTTCATTTACCATCTTTTCCAGAGAGATGTATGAACTGTTTTGTCATATTCGTTGTCGTCTGTCATGATATGTGTGCTTTGCTCTTCCTTCCGACTGTAATTAGAAGTCACTCTTCTATGTTTTTTTCCGGCTGACTCTGCATCATTGAGATACATTGTTAATTATATTATTCTAGGACTTTGGTCATGTCTCACTCAAGTGAGTTTTTAGTCTCACTTAGATTTTGGTTTGGCTGGGATTGGCAGACAACCTAATGTAAAAGGGCAAACCAAACAGGTGTCTTTTTATTTCTCTCTGTAAATCAAGCACAGAGGTAAGCAGTTTAGGGTGTGTCTGGGTAGCTTCTTGATGAGCAGAGGTTCTGTGTCTTATTTATTGCTCTGTCTCCTTCAGAGTTGTAGACCTTCAACCTCATGGTACAAGGTGGTTTCTCAAGATAAGGTGGATAAACCTTCCATTTGCAGAAAGCTGGGAGGGTTAGTGGAAAGATAGGTAACTGTTCTTTAAGAATACCGTTTGGCAGTTGGTTACCCCATTTTTCTTGTATGCTATTCAGGAGATCTTAATGTTGAGACTCCCTCTTACTACTAAGGAAAGCTAAGAAATGTGGCCTTTGTTTCTGTTGATAAATAGCTAGATGATCCTTATAGTCTTTTTATATTTCATCTAGGTAATCCCTGCTGGAAGGTCATAAAGAGATATTCCTATATTTAATTATAAACAGTTAATTTGTTTAAAAGCAAATAATGATTTGCTTTTGCATTTAGGTCTTTAATCCATATTAAACATTATGTATATAGGGTGAGATAAGAAATTATCATTTGATTCCAGCACTATTTGTATCCTCATTGTATTAATACATACCATATTAGTCAAATATTAGTCATTTTAGTCTGTTTTTTGTTGCTTTTCTTTACCCCTGTATCAATACTAAACTGTGTTAGCGATAATATTTTGATATCTGATATTTTCAATAGCTATATCTGATAGATAACATGTATATACACACACATACACATCTTGATGTTCCCTCTTATTCTACTTAGCAATTCTCAGTTTATTGCATTTTAAACAAATTTTTAAAAGATTTATTTATGCATACAGAACTGGGATACAGGCCAGAGGTGCAGGGGTACTGAGAGGATTCACCAGAGACAGAGTGGGGAGCAGAACAGGCAGATTGACGAAGCACAAGCACACTGTTAAAGGGATCAGCGGGGAGACAGGAGAGGTCTGCTATGTCAGTCTATTGCTTTTTTAAACTCTGGAAACCTGTATTGAATTTCTGTAAGGGTTGTATTCAATTCATAGACTAATTTGGAGAGAATTGGCATTTGTGTGGGTTCTCGTATTCATTAACATGGCCGCTTTGTAAAAGCTAATATCTGTGTAACACTTGGCTCAGTCAAGAGCCTGAATATAGCATTTATTTTAATTAGAGAATTAATGTGTAGAATTGTTAACCAAGTGATGGGGAGTTGAAAAGAAAAAAAGAGAATGTTGTGGTGTCCTGAAACTACACTGCAGGAGAGAGGCAGCACCCCCGTGACTGTGAGAACAGTGAGTGCAGAGAGGTCTTGGACGTTAAAATACGGGTTGCTTGGGACTGCTGGTACATTGGCTGCTCTTACAGGGCTGCTCAGGGGGGATGCTGGCTTTTCAGGAGAGGCCACCTCTTTGGTGCTGGGCATCTCAGATTAGGCACAGGGAGGCAGATTTGGGGCAGATGTGTATCAGGGGGACGGAGGCTGAACCCAGCTGCTCTAGCCAGAGTGAAGAACCAGGACTGGTTAGACAGTCCAAAAGGGACAATAAAAAAAGAGTAAATGGGACTGAAAGTGGTAGTTGTGGGGACTTACTATTTCACATGGGTTGGCTACTAAAGGACTTTTTGTTGAGGTGACATTTCTGACAAGAGACCCCAGGTGAGCCCTGTGGCCATGACGCTCGTTCCTGTGGACGTGATCACTGAGTATAGGACTAGAGGTTGACGGTGATGGTCTCGGAACCTTTTAAAGGTGTGGTTCCGTAGTCTTGTGCTTCTCGTAGGCTATCAAGAAGTCTGTGCAGCACAATTTTTAAAAGGTAATCTGTCTTTTTTCCTCTTTGTTTTTGTCTTTGCTTTGTGGTAATTGCACATGTCTACTTGGGGATTATTATAGTTTACTTTTACGTCAGTTTGTGCCTTTTCCCATCTCAGTTGTAATCCCCATGGGCTTCCCATCACCAAATCTTGTGGATTATTCTTTACAGAATTCAGTGCTTAATACATCAGAGGGCTTTTACTTTTCATCAGTTTTGGAAGATTCTTAGTAATCACTCTTTGAATAATGCCCCTCCCCCATTCTCTAGCTTTTCTCCCTCTGAAACTTCTCTTGTGTCTCATGTGAGGGAGGGTATAAATTTTACAAATAATCACATGGGAATTGCATGGTGATAAATCCCATGTTAATTGGGGATATTCGTGATTATTTTACAACAGTATTTTGCATTAAGTGTTCACACTTGACAGGTGATATTTGCACATCCATGTGCAGGTGTGTAAAACTGGCAGGAGTGAGTTTGACCCTCCTGGGATAGTAAGTGTCTTAGTGAAGTGAGTAATAGAAGAGTGAGGCAAAGGGATGTTGGTAGGGGATGACATCAGAGAGGATGTGGGAATCTGGTGTGTAGAGTCTGATCAGCCTCTTTTACTGAGCATGACGGCACTGAGTGTAAGGTCTGTATAGAGTAAGTCCACCCCAAGTGAAGACCACAGGACTCACTGCAGCTTTCTGGTACTCAAGAACATGGAGAGGAGGAGGGTCAAGATGAAAACAAGGAAACTGGCTAGAGAGGTTATTGTTTTTCCACCCTCTTTTCTCTCTATAGTTAGGAATAGCTACTACTGCCCTGTGATGCCAGTGTATGGGGACTGTGTGAAGGCATACAGAGCACTTTACTTTCAGGATGGAGGAATGGCAGCTGAATTAAAAATAATTAAATTGCTAATTTCTGTCAGTAATTTGCATTTTGGAAAAATAATAGTCTTATCATTTGTTATCATACTATTAGTTTTTATGCTTATAGAGCACCTGCATTCTTGAGGAAGTTTATATATTGTCCCATATGTTCACTTTTTTATTACAATGTTTTCCTATATTTTGTCTAAATTGTTTGGATTTCATTTTGATCAATATGTGAAATGAATACCTAAATTAATTTCTGACCTAGGAGCTAGTTTTCTCAACTTTATTCATTGAATTCCATCATTATTCTTAGTGCCTCTCCTAACATTTATTATGTTATTATATAAACTAGTGAAAAATTTAAAATTCATGAGGAGAGATAGAACTAAAGAATGGATGTTATGCCACAGTGTTAGCACAGAAGGACAGCGCCTGCCAGAGAGTGTGCTTCCGGAATGGAAGAAGCGAAGGCTTTCCTGAGGGAGAGCGAATACATGAATGGCAGCAAGTACATTGACAGTTTCAACACGCCACAGGAGATACATGAGAATGGCCGCCTGCCTTGGGACTGAGAATCTGGTGGAGAAACAGGCATTCCGTCCCGGAAGGTGGGCTTGTAGTTGTGTGAGGAACAAAGTTCTGGAATTTGAGAAGACATTCTCCATAAGGAATCTGTGGGAACATTTGAAGTACTGAGATGATTTTGAAAATTGCAAGGCTTTAGATGAAGTTTTTCAATGTTTTCACAGAATTCAGAGGTTTCCGTGTTTGAGGTCAACATCCGGTTCATCGGCGGCCTCCTCGCAGCCCATTACCTGTCAGGAGAGGAGGTGAGCAGAGCGCCGAGGGGATTGGGGTGGGAGGGCGGTGTAAGATGTGATAAGACAAAGGATTCCCCAACGGCACGCTGGTTCTGGAAGGTCTAATACTGAACTAAGCTAAAGTTTTGCAGAAATACCTGGATCCTTCAGATCCAAGCAGGCGTCCTAGGAATAATGATATTTTCATTTTGAGAATGTCAGTAGACAACTTCATCACAGAGCCTAGCTTGTATTAGCGTGGCTCTTTGGAGGAGTGACCTTCTTCCGAATTTGCCATTGTAAGGTCCATTTAAAGAAGGAAAGAAACTAAAAAGACCAGAATTAAGGAATGAATCAGGAAGAGAGAAGGAATACAGACCCTAAGACCAAAAATTAATTATTAAAACTGCCTGTTTGGAAACTGCCTTGTAATGCATTACTGTGATACTTGGACACGAAACTCTGAATCACAGACTTACTTGGACCTGCAGGGCTGGAGAAGCGGGTTAAAGGATGGATGGGCTTAGAGAGTGGGAAAGGTTACGGTTACAAGGAAGAAACTGTAAATCATTTCTCTTTTGTTTTCTGCGATTCTATACTTTGTCCCTATGTTTGACAGTTTGCTGATCTAAATGACTCTTAACAGCTCTTGATAAATGTGGTAAAATTCATCTTCTGTGCTTGTGTTGCTAACTTTCAAGTAAACATTTTTAGGTTATTTTTCCCCTATAGATTCTAGAATTCGGTTGTTAGCCTTTCCTATGTTTCTGTTACTATTATATTTCATTCTGAAATTTTTATGATTTATATGCTTATATTTTAAATCCTTTTGTCTGCTTGTGTGTGTAAAAATTGAATATTCACGTTCTGCTATTTTCTTTACAAATAGTATATTTGAAGATGCCAGTGATTAATATATAATATTGGATAGCTTACTTAGTATATAATTTTGCTGTCAAACTTGATAACGGTGATTCTATACTTTGGGAAACACTGACCTAGCTTATATATATATATATATAAAGTCACTTAATTTAATTGATATGTTTGTTTTGTTCCTTTGTTTTGTTTCTTTATATGCCACATAGAAGTGAAGCCATCTGGTATTTTTCTTTCTCCTTCTATGTAGTATTCCATTGTGTATTTTATACACACACACGTATATGTATGAAATATATATACATATATATGCACATGCATATGTATGAAATACATATATAAATCCATTTTCTGCCCTTTGCAACTTAGGTGTTTTCCATAACTTGACTATTTAACTAGTGCTGCAGTGGACAGAGGAGTGCGCAGCATCCCTTCAAATCAGTGTTTTGGCATGCACTCCTAGATAGCTAGGAGTGAATGTATGCTGGGCCCTATGGTGGATCTGTTTGCAATATTTTGAGAGGATTTTAAATATCTGCTTTTCTGAAATATTATTTATGACTTAGAAAAAAATTCCCCCATTTTGATTTTGATAGAGCATACCTCTAGTAACCAGCAGCGCCGTCAAGAGATTCTGTCATCCCATGAACCACACTTTACCACCTTATCATCGCCCCCACTGGCCATGCTGGAGCCTCACTCGCGTGCCCTTTACTTGTGTGACCTCGCACCCTCAGTGGGCCCCAGCCTCTAGGACGTTGCTTCCTACCCTCAGTGTCCCCTCTGGGCCTTGACCCCTGGCTTCTGGAGTAAAATTTAACAACATGAAGGGGAGGCAAATTTGTTCGGTACCTTCAGCTTTGGTGTTTTTTTCCAGGTTACCCATTACAAGATGTCCTTGAGGAATGAGATGTTTTCCCCCTTACCGTCATGCTTATCTGACTATGTAGAGGAAGTTTTTGTTGTCGTGTGCATAGTTGACATACTTGATTAGTTTTCACACCAAAATACTGCTCCAAAAATTGTCTTCACCTTGTGAAAGAGGAACATTGCACTAGGAGCCGGGTCTGAAGGTGGAAACAAAATATTAAAATTTTTCTTGCTATTCTAGGAAAATTAAATGCTGGGGAAATAATAGATGATTGCAGCATTTTTCACTTTTGCAATTTTTCTGCTTTACACTTCAAAAGAAACATTTTGAAATGGTGGGAAGCACATAGGATTTGGAATTGAAAGTTTTATTCCCTACTGACTCTTTTTCGTAATGCTATTCTACCTAGTGTTCAACATGAAAATGTGAAAGAATTCACCTGAGTGTTGTGAAGATTAAGTTACACAAAATACCTAGTGATAGTACCTGAGTCAGTACATATTATGTTTTTTCTTTGATTTTTTTGCTGTTTGGTCATAAATATTCTGTTTCTATAGGTACAGAATCCTTCTACTTATTTTAAAACATAAATTAACCTTTTAGGATTCAGTCTACTAAAAGTAAATATAAGCTAGAATATTAGTTATAATTGATAACATGACTAAAGTGCTACAGTAATAATGTAGCTTGAATGAAAAGTATTTATATTCATTCTGTTCCTAACACTGGAGCCAAATGAGGCTTATACGCCATCCTCACAAAGTAGTCCCCTTCCCTGTTGATTTATTGATATCATACTTGTGAAAATTTGTCATTTTATTTTCTCAGAACAAGGCTATTTATATTAAACTATCACAAGTTTATAGATAGTCATGAGTTATTATGTTTCCCTGAGATATATAGCATTTCTTTTACAGGATTGTTTCTTCATTTTTTAGTGGCTATCAAAGTGACATCCCTTTTTGAATAGGGAAATAACATAATTTACATAGATTACTGCATCTAAAATCTGTCAGATAAGTAGAAAAATGATAATGTGAAGTTTAATGCATTTTCACAGATAATAAAAACAAACAACAACCCAAAATATTTCTTTACCAAAACATAAATGTTCTTTATTGCCTTATGTAGGATAACTTGAGTAAGTTCAGGAAAATTTTAAAGTCATAATACATTTCTTTTTACTTAAATTCTTTAATTAAAATTCTGAAATAAAAAAATAGTATTAGAGCATTTATTTTTCCTAGTTTAAATAATTATTGTCTTTGCTGCAATTTTCAATTTTTCTTTTTAAAAAAGAAAAACCTCATTGCTGGTGATGGCACACAGGTGATGTGATGGGAAGCCCGCGGAGATTACAAATGAGCTGGAAAATGTACAAAATGATATAAAAATAAGCTATTAAAAAGAAAAACCTCATTGCTCCAGCAGTAGTTGCTATTTTCACTGAAAAATTGACCTCTTTCTTTCCTGTGGATGTGTTGGTAATTGGGAAATACAGCCCACTAGACTTTCCTGATCTAGCTAACGTCTTAAGTACATGCCAACATTTTCCTTTTGTATGTCAGTTCATTTACGCATATGTAAGACAGTTGATGGGAGGCCTAGTAGACACCGAACACTGCGAATACTAGCTTGAGAGAAGAATTTCCTCTGTTCATTTCAAGTATTTTGAGTTTGAGGTGTTGATATAGTTAGGTGAAAATGGATGGAAGACAGTGAATCTGGTGCTTAGTGGAGAAGTCCTGCCGCAAGCTGCTTGTCTGTGAGCCAGGTACTCTGTAGCCGGAAAGTGAAAACAGGCACATGTGGAATTGCACAGAGAGACAGTTTAGGACAGCCGGAAGGCGACCTAGATCAAGTCTCGACACGCACGGCCTGAAAGGCCAGCAGTGAGGAGGGGAGTCAGTGGCAGACAAGGAGTCTGTAGGGTTACTGAGCACCAGGGAAGAAAGTTTGAAAGAGGAACTGGACAGTAATGACTGAAAATGCTCTTTACTCAGATGTGTGACTAACTTCAGCAGGTTTTCATTTCGTGACATGATGGAAACAAAAAGCCATGTTGAAAGAGATTGAAGAGTGAGTGGGAGGTGAAGACCTGGATACGCTAAATCAGACAGTTTTGGGAAGGTGCTTGTGATCTTAGTAGCTGGAAAAGGCAAAATGAAAAAGACAACTTATATGTGTGTGTACATACCGAAAAGGTGGATGGAGATTACAAAGTATGGCTAACATTAGGCTCAGAATAAAGGAACTGTATGACTTTTCTCCCTTTTAATTTTCCTGGTTTTTAAAATAAACAAGTATTTAATAATAGATAATGTCAATGTTGGGATGATTTATCTGTTGAACGTGCTAGCTACTTTAAAACTAGCTAATGTGAAGATTTATTAATTAGACATTAAGTTAATTAGGGCAGTGCTAGATTTAAAAAAAAAGAAGAAGAAAAGGTGGTATGGAGGGGCGCCTAAGGAAGCAGCCAGGGCTGAGGGAGTCTGGAGGGAGGGTTCTGTAGAGCTGCCGCGCAGACCTGTAAGGAAAGTGTGCTTTCTGACTGGTCCTGTTGCTGGTATTTGGAGGGACGGTGGGGTAATGAAGGTAGGTCTGCCGGAGTCAGAGAGACTGCAAGGTAGACTAGGCTACTCCGCAGGAAGGCGCTGTTGTTACTTCTCATGTGAAGTCAGCAACAGGCCTTGAAGTCCCTGCATACTTTCAGTGGGGACACCAAGAGTAGAAAGCCCTGATGGCACAGTTTCACGGATGAGGTACTGTCTGACCGTCCACAGCAGACTGGCTTTCAGTTGCTGTGAGTGAGGTTCTCCAAGTTCATCTGTAATGCAGTGCACCGTGTTATAAGGGATTCATTACGGGCCCAGTGGGTCATCCCTGTGGGATTTAGGTAGGAGTGAAGATGGGGGTTTGTACAACTAATATAAGTAAATATAGCTTTCACTGTGCCTTTACCATGCACAACACAGTGGGTCCTTGTTTCCTGACCCACTAGTTTCATGATATCTTTCAATATCATGAATGGTCGTGGCAGGCTAACTTCTTAGCTTGAAAGGAAGTATGGTAAAATCTTGAATTTCAGCGAGACTTTAAAAATAGTCTGCAGACTCATTTTGAGTGGGAAGTGTGTGTCACTTATTTCTCCCTCTATGTTAGCTTACAGTTTTGTGTTAACAGCCTTCACTGGGTGCAGGGAACACCTGCCCAGTCTTTTGTCTGTTCCTACCCATGGTGATAATGAAAATTTTTCCAGAACGTAGTATACAGAGTCAAAACAGTTAAGAAACATAAAATAATTCAGTAAAATAATTCAAAGAATGTTTAGTAGGAATCTCACATGAGTTTAAATAAATGACAGAAAATCAATATTTGAAAAGACATGAAGGACAAGGAGGAAATAGTAAAAGCTACCACAGAGAAAGGACTTAAGAAAAGAATGACAATTAACAGCAGAGTTCTCAGTAGTAATAGACTTCAGGAGCAACTGCCAACCCCGGATTTTATATTAGTCAGACTGTTGTTCCAGAGGAAGGTAAAGATGAATAAATTAGCAAGATGTTTTGAGAAATTATTAACCGAAAGGTAAGATTAAATAACATGTGATGTAGGAATATGTGTGTTTAGCTGCCTGTATTTGCTGTTTGTGTGTGAGACTGTTTCTGTCTGTCTGTATCTACATCTAATAGAGCGACTGTTCAAGCAGGAACAGAGATTCTGGAGTTGGACTTACTGAGTTTAAATTCAGGTTTACTTCTTACTAGATCTATGATTTTGGATAAGTTGAACTTTGTAAAGATTTTTTTTGGGGGTTAAAATTGTTTTACATTTTTATATGCTTTAGGAGTTACAGGCTCAGACCCGTGCAGATGTATGTATCCACACCACACCTACCTCCAAAGTCCCTCAGATCCTGCTGCCTCCCTCCCAACTCCCACCTTGCCATCCTCCCTTTTTGCCTTAATTTTGTAATCATGTTAAGGGTTTGTTAGTACTTGGGTTCTGTCTGACTCTTGTTTCTCTATATTGCAGCCGTAAGTGAAATCGTTTATCTTTTTATTTTTGACTCATTTTGCTTAGCATTGTCCTCTCCAGTTGCTCCCTGTTGTCGCAAATGGCAAGAGTTCATGTTTTCTGCAGTTAGTAGTATGCCATTCCCCCCAGTGTACACACACACAGGAAGTATGCATAGGTGCCCATGCATGCACTCACACACCCGTGACGCACACACGTGGCATGGGTGCACCTTACAGCTAGCACTCCCCACCGCCTGCCCCCAGTCGCCTGTCCTTGGACACCTTGTAGAGCTGAGACAAGTTAGCTTACTCGTTGTATGCTCAGTTTCCTACATTGTGAAATGAGAGTAATAAATACTTCCCTCATTGGGTTGTTAGGGTTAATTGGGTTACTGTGTGTTTGCGGTTACACTATCATCATCCTCCCAACATTTTTTGCAAAATATGATAAAAAGTCCTTGAAACTTTTGTTAACATTGGGAATCTCAGGGAGATGAGAACAGATAAAGAAGTGGAAAAGGCGATTTTTTTTTATTATAATAAAGGTGTATTCTTTATGATTTAAATTCATACTTGATAAACAACCTATTATATGCTAATCACTCTTTTAAGTACTGAGATACAATAGTTAACAAAAGAAGAACAGTCCTCTCTACCTGTGAATTGCATTTCTACTGGGTGTTAGGCAATAAAGGTAGGCAAGAGAGCTGTGTGTGTGTGTCCTGTGTGTGTACACCCTCATTCACACAAACACATAAACTGTGATAAGCACTAAGGAGAGGAAAAGGTCAGAGTGGAATATTTTGCAGTTAAATGCTCTACCCTTGATCTATATACTCAAAAGATAGAAAATTCTGTGTTTGAAAGAGAAAGAGACAAAGACTGTGTGTGAGTGAACTGTAACAGAATTTCTGTTTGAGAAGGTAAAAAAAAAGTGAGGATTTTTGGATTATGACAGATGAAGCATGCATTGTACGACACAATATGCATTACATGCTAAAAACTAATTTAAGTAATTGTCACCTACTGAGATTTTTCAGAAAATAGAGGCTGGACAGTCATCGTTAGGATTTGCCTTTTTGTACATACATTACTATAAATATACTGTATAAGGAAATTTTTCTGAGTGATGTTACTTGTACTATGAGCAAATAGTAAATTTGTACTGTGAACTATAACTGGTTACTGTGTCAGTTGACGCAGGTAGTTGGAAATTAGAAAATAAGCCATTGATTAGCTCAGTAGTGTGTGTGTGCTTTGTTGAATAATATCAATTTTAGAACTTAGTGCTATTCCAGACCTTAAAGGGAACTTTATAAAACATCCTTATGTCATATTCTTCTCTAACATTTTTTCCCAATAGTGTTCTTGTTCTTAGTTTAATATAATTTCATTTAAGAACTTGAATCTGTTCCAGACCTTCAACTTCTTAACTTATTTTAAGAATCTAATAATGTATTTGATTGCAATGAAAGGATGAGACCTTAAGTAACTAATAACTTTGAAATAAGTTTGAGAGAGGACAAGCGTGAGACATGTAGAACACACCACTTTTCTTAAGAGGATATTCTGACCTAATCTTAGTTTAGAGTCTCTAAATTAATACTCTCCAAAGTGGAATCCAAAGACCGATCTGTGGAATATGCTAAGAGTATTAGACGTGTTATTAGATATTGTCTTGGTAGTAGTACATGATTTTGAAAGTTTGGAAATCACTGATATTTAACAGTTGTTTTGGCTACCAAAAAAGTAGCAGTTGGGATTGAAGAGTGGAGCAAAGTAAACTCTCAAAGTAAATTTGGACCATGGACTCAGATGTTTTCATTCCTGTCAATAATGGTTAAACTTTGATGGAAAATGTTGATACGAACATGCTAATACTAACTTAGGAACATTTTTCCAGTTTGAGTTGTAGTTTTAATACTTGTACTAAGCTTGTATACCATGAATGGAAACTTTTAGCCAAATGTTTTCTCAAACTGCTTTGCCAGCTAAAAATACAGATAGTATTTATGTCAAATTGTGTTCATCAATTTGTTAGTTTCAGACCATTGCATTTGGGTAGCTTGATCAGTGTCCAGTTGCAAACATTTTTTCATATTGCCGTATGCATCATAGTACCAAGGAGATGCTGCCTCTCCCCGCCTCCATAATTCCCATGTAGACAATATATTGTGCTGTGTACCCCCTTGAGAGAGCAGCTTCGTGATGCTTCCTGATGAGTGTAACTTAATAATACTGGTGTTGATCTCTCAGATATTCAAGATCAAAGCCGTCCAGTTGGCTGAGAAACTCCTTCCTGCCTTTAACACACCTACTGGGATCCCCTGGGCAATGGTGAATCTGAAAAGGTAAATTCTTTTGTGGTTATTCCTAGTCTGAGAGAATTAGATGAATTGATTTTTGATCTTTTTAGTTTTAGAATTTTCTAGTTAGTGATTTTCACCAGTACCCCACTGAACTTTTTATTAAGGCTATTTTTTTAATCTCTACATATATGCAGAAACCTGTCTCTTGGAAACATTTTCTGATATTTGAAAATACATTCTTTCCTTTTAAACAGTTCTTAAATCTGTCTTAATCACTCTAGTTCTACTACCTGAGTATAGATTTCTCTTTCTCATCTGTTTGGTTATAAAATACTACTATGTTTCTTCATTTACATTTGGTGCTATAATAGATTTAAAGTATTTTCACTCATTTTTTCACACACTACTTGTTGGTCGTCTTCCAAGTGGAAATGGAATGTGGTGTGCTGAAACAGGACTTCTGCTGCCGAATGTTCGTAGGGCCCTTAGTACATGTTTATACTATTGACGTTAAAAATAAAATTTTAAAGCACTCTTTGCAATTTGTTATGTCCTCGGATAAAGTTACCCGTTCCAGTTAGAAAAGGATGGAATGTTTTCTTTGGACAATTTTATAAACATGTACAGATTACAACTAAAAATTTGAATAATGTAAAGATTTTCACTTGCATTTAAATCATTTATGCTAACTAAATTTTTTTTGGTGCTCATTTGTTCTCCAAATAAAATTTACTGTTTATATTAATACTGGATCTTGGAAATTATGTGGAAATATGACTCTTGATCTAAAAATTAGAAGCATATGTTTTATGAGAGGCATCATGCTGTGACAACATTTTTTGAAAAAGCCAACTTATTTAAGCCTTTTATTTCTAATGGAGAGAACTTTGAGTTTAGATTTATATTTAATATTGAAAATTAAATGTAACTTTTTGATTTCATGCACTATGTTTTTTATAATTTTCGGGTTTACAGTCTTGGTTAAAAAGATTGTCTCTACCTGTGTTTTATAGTCTTAGGGATTTCCAAAACAGGTTTGAATAATACTTTCTTTAAAAATTTCAATATGTGTAATGTTACTTGTAGATTTGCCATCAGTTATCTTTATCAGGTTGCCTTATTCCTTTCTTCCCTTACCGTGAAGATGATCATGTTTTTTCACTTTATTCTGTTAGTATGGTAAATTACTTGTTAGTCAAATGTTAAATCAATATGGATTCCTAGGATATTCCATGTCCATATCCATAGTTTTTATAGTAGGGAAGGGAAGTGTACTTTAAATGGACACATAAGCAAAGGGACAGGCATTTACCATGACCATACAAAGGTGGAGTATGTGGTTTCTGTATTACTGTATTTCTGTCTTTTTTTTTTTTTTTTTTTTTAAGATTTACTTATTCATGCAGAACTGGGTACAGGCTAGAGGCTCAGGGGCGGTGAGAGGCTTCACCAGAGACACAGTGGGGAACAGAACAGGCAGATGGACGAAGTACACTGCTGAGGGGAGCAGCGGGCGGGTCAGGAGAGGTCTGCCACACCATGTGATCACCTCCGGGGCAGGCGGGGATCAAACTCATCAAACTCATGCGAAGCGGCTTTAGCTTCTCAGTGCTGTGCTTTAACCCGCTGCGCCACCAAGGAGGGCCCTATTTCTGTCGTTTTTCAAATAAAAAATACAATGAAAAAAATTTAAAAGTTTTCATAATAGCAAAAAAGTATTAGAAATCTGCTAAACGGTCACAAAGGATTGATTACATGAATTATATCTATTTAGGTAAGGAATGGATTTTCTCACAGGCACTAAAATTTTATTTCAGCATTTGGGACAGGACAGTTTATCATGTGACACTGTCCTGACCATTATAGGACAGGTTACATCTTTGATTTCAGAATTATTAAATACAAGCTGACACTTCAGGGTTTGAGGCAGCTAAAGACTCACATTCTCGTATGCTTACGGAATGGGACAGTCCAAGTGAAAATCTTCAATAACATGAAATTCTGTGTAGTGGTAAAAAACGAGAAAGCTATTTATTAGCTGGTAACGGAAAGACCACTAAAAAACACCTTAAAGAGTGAAATGCAGGGTTCAGAGCAGTAAGTATACTTGGCTGGCTTTGTTTCAGAAAGAAAGAAAATATGAATATGTGTTTGAACAGTTTATATATGCATTAAAAATTCTTTAGTAATATGTAAGAAGCTAATGGAAGTGTTTATATGTTGGACCTGGTAAGGCAAAGAAATGAAGGTGAAATAAAATCTAATGTGATATAAATTTCAATATTGTTTTTGATTTTTAGAACATGTGAATGTGTTACCTGTTCAAAAGAATTTAAAAATAATAAAATAGTATTTTAGATGTAAATAGGATGTTGTGTTAAATGCAGTTGTTTCAGAGAGATTTATTGAAAGTTTATGTACCCATCAGAGTAAAGTCTTGGTTTTTTCTGACCCCGTTTGCTCTTGCTGTGGCTCCCTGCAGTGGTGTTGGGCGGAACTGGGGCTGGGCATCGGCAGGCAGCAGCATCCTGGCTGAGTTCGGGACCCTGCATATGGAGTTCGTGCACCTCAGCTACTTGACGGGGGACCCAGTGTACTACAAAAAGGTGAGGTTCCTGTTTTCCTTGCTTTAATACAGCGTTCTTTACAGTTTACCCAAGACTGGGCTCATGCTTTTAAAATGTGTTTCCAGAAGTACATGTATCCCTACGCTGGCCTTTTGTTCTCTTTACATTATGTAAAGAAGTGTCCTTTTTATTTAGAGCATTTTAAGGTGGTTACAGTTGCTCAAATTGTAACATGAAGTAGCCTTTTTTTTTTTTTAAAAGATTTATTTATTTATGCATACAGAACTGGGTACAGTCCAGAGGTACAGGGCGGTGAGAGGATTGAGCAGAGACAGAGTGGGGAGCAGAACAGGCAGATGGATGAAGCACACTGCTGAGGGGAGCAGGGGGCGGGTCAGGAGTGGTCTGCCATGCCCTGTGGGTCACCTCCAGGTTGGGAATCGAACTCATGTTGAAGTGGCTTTAGCTTCTTAGTGCTGTGCTTTAACCCACTACACCACCAGGGAGGGCCCATTAATGCTTTTGTCATTGGTATTTAACATTGGACTGAAGTGCTGGACTGCTTGTGAAGACAATTAAAATAGGATGAGCAGAAGGCCTAAGTCAAAAAAGAAATAGTAGTTATTTACAGACTGTATGGTTACTTAACATATTAAGAGTCTACATTTAAATCATTAAAAACCAAAAAAAATATTAAATAAAGGATTGATTAGATATTAAAAATCATAAAGATATAGTGCCATTTTACAAAAGAGGTATGGTATAAGGAATATAACACCTGTGTAGCTTTTTAAATTTTTTTTAACTTAAAAAAAACAGCCAATTTAGAGATAAACCAAAATGAAATCCCTGGGAAAGTCTCTAGTTTCTTAATATATATCATGATTTTCTTTTCCTTCTTTAAAAATAGCTTTTCCTGACCAAGACGCTCACAGAGCAGAGGTGGTAGAATTGGTTCTGTCAGAGAAAAGCACAAAACCTTGAATAAGTGCAAAGCCACTATGTCATTTGTTTATGTTAATTGCTCTTTAAATCTTACTTTACTTAGGTCATGCACATTCGAAAACTACTGCAGAAAATGGATCGTCCAAATGGTCTTTATCCAAATTATTTGAACCCAAGAACTGGTCGCTGGGGTCAGTGTAAGTATTCTAGTACTGAATAATTTTTTTTTTTTTAAAGATTTATTTATTTATTCATATGGAACTGGGGTACAGGCCAGAGATGTGGAGGGTGAGAGGATTCACCAGAGACAAAGAGAGGAGCAGAACAGGCAGATCAACGAAGTACACTGCTGAGGGGAGCAGTGGGCGGGTCAGGAGAGGTCTGCCACGCCATGTGGTCACCTCCGGGGCAGGCGGGAATCGAACTCATGCGAAAGTGGTTTTAGCTTCTCAGTGCTGTGCTTTAACCCGCTGTGCCACCAGGGAGGGCCATAGTACTGAATAATTTTTAGAACGTTGCTTTTGTTCTTTTTCCCAGAAAGTACTACTATGACTGTGTTTAGGCATTAGGCCTTGTATTTTCTCCAAATAAATAGAAAATGAGCTTGCTTGATGTAATGCAGAGCACATCACAGATAGTTAGAAACTTGGTGACGGGCCCTGTTAACTAGTCGAACTTAACTTTTCCTTTGGCAAGTTTCTAATCTCTTACAACTTCTTCAGTTTTTCTATTTGTAAATTGGAAACACTAACCTATTACCAAAGTATTTTATTTCATGTATGTGAGTGTGCTAAATATAGTGCGGCATTTGTGAAGTGTTGCCCTGTAAACCCTGTGTTTTAATGTAAATAGCAGCATGCCTTGGGGTACGTCGATATTAAAGGAATAGTAAGAGCAAGTGAGTGTGTTAAGGGATCCGAAAGGGCAGGTTCTCTTTGACCGAAAAGAAGGTATCAGTGTCTGTCATTACCATTTCTGTGCTAAGTTATTGGATACATGAATTGAGTTATGAGTTTTGATTTTAGTGAATTAAATTAAGACGGGAAATAGGGGCAGAATCTGTATGACTTGGTCTGAAACTGGGACCGTGCGGGCTGGCAGTGCAGGCAGGCACACTTAGAAGTGGCTAGAGCATAATGTAGACGCTGGAGTGAGAGACCTACAGTGGGTGTCAGACTGTGGTAGAGGTGATCCCTCAGTCTGAGGAGAAGTATTTTGGTTTTGGAGGGTGCTTGTTAGAGCTCTAGAATCGATCATTGGAGGAACTGATTTTCAAAAAATAATAATAATGCTTAGATGGCAGGGTGGGGTTTACAGGATTCTAATGAAGTTGTGAGTTTGTCAGTCGGTTCTCTCTTAATATGTCGTAAAAGTAAACAAATAGAAATTATAACTTTGCCCTTACTGTTATGTGTTTGATTTATTTGTGAGACTAATAAAATCATCATGAAGTAGTAAATAAAAGGTAAAAGTCACAGTCACCTAATTCCATGCATGCAGAATATGACATCTCCTACCAGGAGTAGTGGGATTTGCTTTCAGGCTTCTTGGAAGGAAATTGTCTGTTTTATGAAGGAAAGTGATTGGTAGCGGAGTTACTGTGTCTTTCATGGATCTGGGGCTAGATCAGAATGTTTTTCTCCTCTGAAATTCTTTATCAGTAGCTCATTTTCTCTTTATTTGAAGAAAATAGAAGGTCTAATGCCCAGAGTAAGGTGGTACTTTCTGGGAAAAAATAAAAACCTTGAGATTGGCATTTCTGAAATATAAAATTGCTTTTTTCTTATTCTAGATAATTCTAACTAGTTTGGATGTCTACTCAGTAATTTGGGTTAATTTTACTGCTAATTTTTTCCTTTAGAGTTATATTACAACGTGGGGATATTCTACCATCAGGGGAAATTATGTTCCTTACCTCTATCATGTAACAGTTATATCTTATGTGGCATAACTAATTGTAAAAAGTGAAACCATGAAAGTATTAAAAAATGGTTGACATACAATCAGGAAATCACATAAAGCAAAAATCACAAAAAGGTATAAGGTCTTACTGTATATAAACAATAATTACCTACATGTCATAGCAAGACGTAGGTAACAAGCTACAGAAATATATTTGAACATATTTGGAAAACAAATATCCTTTTTATATAAAAACTCCTAAGTTCATAAGAAAAAAATGACCACCCCAGAGAAATGAAGTGAAAAAGCAAAATACAATGACAGTAAACCAGAGGTTCATCTTTAGCCCTGGTCTCAGGGAAGGCGCCTGGCCCGTGGAGGCGGTGTGGTGTGGACGATGGAGCCGGGTGGGATGAAGCCCTGTCTCTGCTGGGGGCGCTGCTGCAGGGGAGGTTACGAAGGCCATAGGCTATGGAGTGTTTCCACACTGGTCCTCTGCCCCTCTCTTTTCTCACGCAACCATTTACCTAATCAAATGAAGGCAACTTTTAAATGGAAGACACTGTTCTCTTTTACATTGGTGAAGCAAATAAATATGTCTGTATTTAGAGAGTTAAGAAGCGTGAAAATTTGCATGCCCTTTGAACCAGTGACTCACTTTTTAGACATATAGTCCAAAGGAATTTTCAGAAATTCATGTCTGTGTGGTTTATTTACAGTAACTGTGGAGCTACTTATAATATAGGGGGAATTTGGGAGCATTCTGAAGCAGTGATGAAGCAGTACAATAGAAGTTTCTGTGGTGATGGAAAATTTCTATACGATGCTCCCTAAAACATCCGTCACTGCTGGTGAGGGGGGCTGTCGGACACTGGAAATTTTGCTAGTATGAGCTTGGACCTGAATTTTAAATTTTACTTTAAAATATTTAAGTTTAAATCGCTTCTTGTTATTAGTGCCTAACTGATAGGATAAGTGGTTTTTAATTCTTGCATGAAAGAGATTTGGTTAAATAATTTACAGTTCTTTCAGATGTGGTACATTATTCATTGAAGATTTTTTGATAGAGTAGTTGACATAGATAAATATGAACTGTCTAGAAAGTTATTTGTAAAGACAAACATTTTCAGATTATAAACTGTACTAACATGTTAACAGTTTTTCTCAATGTTCATTTCTTTCTTTTACCTTTACTAGTCTGTTTTATAATAAATATCTATTACCTTTGAAGTAAGATTAAAAATATTTTTAAGTAAAAAAGACAATGTCATCTTCCAGGCCAACATCTTAGAATACTGAAAAAAATTAAATAATTGAAAACTGCCAGCCTCGGAAAGGCCAGTAGTACAGCATCTTATTAAAAATGTAACTTTCTTTTCATCACATGGCGTTGTGAAAATTGTATAGCCACATGAATAAGAAATTATACTGTTAGCAAAAATTAACTCAGTTCATCACAGAGTCTAAAGAACTAGATCGATAAAACTTGTAGAACAAAACATGGACAACTCTTGATTTGTCAATATTCAAAAGCATGGTCAACAATAAAAAATATTGAGAGGTTATAGTTCACTAAAATCGAAAACTTGTTTTTTTTAAAGATTTATTCATACAAAAGTGGGGTACAAGCCAGAGGCGCAGGGGCAGTGAGAAGACTCACCAGAGACAGAGCGGGGAGCAGAACAGGCAGGTTGACGAAGTACACTGCTGAGGGGAGCAGCAGGCGGGTCAGGAGAGGTCTGCCGCGCCATGTGGTCACCTCTGGAGCCAGGGATCAAACTCATGCTGAAGCAGCTGTGGCCGGCTTGCATTGCTGTGTCCTAAACCCGTGGTACCACCAGGGAGGGGCCAAAATTGAAAACTTTTGTGTATTAGGTGGCACTGTCCTGAGAGTAAAAGCCTGCAGAGTGAGCTTTGGCCAGGACAAGCAATGTCCAGTATACAAATGTCCAGAATAGACATTTTTCCTAAAAAGAAAGGAAATGGAAACAAAGCTTGTAGAAAAGACACTGTCATGTTAAATGTCTGTGACATGATCTAGAGACCCTAGTCAGTAAGGAAATGCAAATTGCAATGGAGCACAATGAAATGCTCCTTGACACTGGACCGGGCGGCTGTAGTCAAAAGAAGACAACACGCGCCTGCATGGATGTGGGGGGCTGGGCCCTCGTGCATTGCGGCCGACATTGTACAACGGGGTAGCCACGTGAAGGTCTGGTGGGTCCTCAGAGAACCTAAACGTAGGATTCCATGTGACCCAACATTCACCTCCTAGGCCTATACCCAAGGAGTTGAAAACAGTTTCTCAGAGACTTGCATGCCTGTGCTCACACAGCATTCAATTCACAGTCGCCAGGAGAAACAAGTGCCCAGCTCTGTAGCGGCAGACACATGGGGAGATGGGATGTGTTCTATCCACAGCGTGGAATGCTGTGCACTGTAAAGAGGAGCAAAGTGCTGTCACATCGTCCCGCACAGATGCTGACTTATAAAGCCAGTCACAAGAGAACAAACAGCCTGTGATTCCACTTATGTCAAGGATCTGGGTAGTCGGGTTCATAGATGGAAAGTGGATTAGACTGCTTCAGAGAGGAGTGAAAAATTACTGTTCAAACGTAGGAACTTTCTATGTGGTATGCTAAAAAATTTTGGAAACAGTATAAGAGTTGAACAATATTGTGCATGTAATTAATATCACTAAATGTTATTCTTTAAAAAATGGCTAAAATAGCAACTTTCATATTATATACATTTTACCATAATAAAAGAAATTGTAAGCAAAAAGGTAATTTTTTTTTCATTCATATCTGTTTTTGCCACAGAATAAATGTAGATTACTTCTTCATAATGTATTCACTCTCAGCAGTTATTAACTTTGAGAATTTATGGAGTTGGTCACTGGTTATTTTGGCAAGAGTTCTTTAAAATCCTAGGGGAGCTGCCTGGAGAGCCTTTTAGCAGCTGTGGTCCTTACTAAATTGTCTAATTTGTTCCTTTTAAATTTTCTGTGTATTTTACATCAGTCTCTGCAAAGTGTATCAAATTCCATTATTATCTTTGAGCAGTATACATCTGTCATGTCTATAAATAGTCTGCAAAACAGTGAGTTGAACTGAAATTTAACAATTCAGCTTTGGCTAACTGTATTATAATTAGAGTAATGCTAATGTCTGTGACATGCACATAGCAATCACAGAGAATAATTACTGGTAATTACCTTCAGGAAGAGCACTTGGCAGCAGACAGAAAAGAACATGGTAAGGAAACCTGGATTTCAAGTCACATCATTGTATTTATCTTTCTTCAACTTTATATTTTCACTAGTTTTCTAAGTGCAAAGCTTAATCGCTACCTTCTTATGACCAAAGTGAAGAAAATTTAAGATATTTGTTTTTGCTTATTCATTGATTTTAATGAGTACGGACTGTATCACAATAGAATACAAACTCCTTGAAGGCAGGGTTCTATCAGTTTAGCTTACTGTTGTAGGCTTTGCAGCTAGAACAGGGAGTTTCCAACTCATAAGTGGTTCAGGAAAGAGTTCTGAGCAAATGAAGTACAGAAAGAGTAGAGAGAGAATTTTCTCAGAGCTAAAAGATACTAATATTTAATTGGATATATGCCCACCATGATGAATGTGGGGGTGTAGTGGAGACTCTATTTAAATTTCACCAATGTCAAAATGAAGACCTGAAGCTTAGAAAGGTGAGCTAAGTATGAGAGGGGGAGCTAAGTATGAGCTGTAGAATAGCATCAGATGCCTCACTGATGATACTTGATATGATGAGACATTGGAACTACCTGCAGGAAGCTCTGAGGAAAATGATGCCAAATGTTGAATTTGGTGCCCACATAGAATAAAAGAGAGGATGAGAATAATAAAGACATTTCAGACAGTATGGCTTAATCAGTATGTCTGCTGATACTGTAAATAGATTTTATTGGGATATTCTAAAAGAATATGATTCAGTAAATGTGGTATAAACTAAGGCATAACATTGAGGAAATAATTGTCTTAACCTCCAGGTGATAGCTGTATGGTGTGTTTAGAGAATAACCATATACGGGAGAAGGTCTCCAGAAGAGTAAGAGGGGGAGGGGTGGCTTAATGTAAGTGTTTGAGAGGCCAGGAAACAAAAAATGGCAAAAGTAAAAGATGAGGGACAATAGGAAGGCAACTAGAAGTTCTGAGGAAAAAGGCTTATATAAGACTGTTATTTTTAAAACGTAAACACAAGTAAAATACAGCATTTCTCACAACTGACGAAGCCCAGTGATACTGCACAGCTAGTAATGGTATCATCCACCGAGTCATCCATGGCATTTTGACATAATTGCACTGTCTGTAGATATTTTGTCACAGATGTTTTGATACAGCTGTTCTAAAGCAGTGGTCCTCCAAATATGAGCTCAGTGTCTTTGGATTCACTACCAGACACTGCGCAGAAGGCCGCCTTAGTCATCACTCCATACCAGGCAATTGTAGGGGGAGGGGCCAGCCTTGTGCATGCTGTGCATTTGACATTGTTTAATATTTTACAAGTCCCTGTTACTGTTTATGATTATAAAATATTTAAATAACATCTAATTGTAATTTACCCTCTAAATCTATCATTATCTATTACTCCCCGTATAAAACTCTTAAATGTAAGTATAATGAGTTTGGGAAGCTATTAGAAGCTTAACTGATTTTTTTCCCTGAGATCTGTAGCTTAAAATTATAGCTCTGTCCTCCATTCCTCTAAGTGTCTTCTCTATTACCTAATCACTTAATGTCAGAAAATAATAAAGTGTACATAAAACAGTGGGTTCCTTCTAAATATTTAGGAGATAATATTTAGAGAGGAGATAGTGAAGTAACAACTCATTTGGAAGTAAATGACCATTTTATGTGAACCATAGAGAGTAAATCTATGGGATAGAGAGGTCACCCTTGGAGGTGAGTATGGACTGTGAGATCATATGGCGAGTGAAGACTTTGGGCTTGCTAGAAATGCTGTGTATTTTTATCTTGGTGGTGGTTTCTGTTGGTATATATATGTATGTGAAAATTTATCCAAATCTATATTTACTATCAAGGAACAAAGTGAGAAATAAGAGCTTTTGAGACATAGCCTATATAAGGTAGAAGTGAATTACTAAGCTATCAGCAGACATTGCTTAAGTGAACACTGGCACCTTTCTCTCTTACTACTTTTAAGATTGCTAAATTACAGAAGTTACATGTATTCTGACTGCATAGTATATACCTGTATAATATATAAATGTGTAGAGTAAAAACTAAATGACTCCTTCCATGGAATTTTTCATCATTGACAGTTGTCTTAAACTTTTCTGTGTGTACACTAACGTTTTTAAACATACAAAAATTTTTTAGTGCTATCATTATTCTGAAACTTATCTCCCCCTCCACTCAACAGCGTAAATAGGTGTCCTTCAGTAGCAGTTTACACATTCACCCAATTCTCCTTTGTTATCGGAGGGCTCGCTGTGCTGTTCATACCATGATGCTGGTAGCCACACAAGACATCTTACTTATTTACTAATGGCAACTGCACTGTGTTGGACTGTTTTCTTCTACTCCTGTATTTGTGTATTTATGCAGATATAGACTTAATTCAAGAACTAGATCCTTTGGTTAAATTTTGATAACTACTACAAACCTCCATTTCTAGCAACCATGACCAATAACTTGATCAACATTCAACATTATCACTTTTTAAAAATGTTTGTTGATTAAGTAGATAGAGTAGAATGTCATTGCTACATTTGCTTTCCTGTAATCAGTCACTAGTGGAGTTGAACTTTTTTGAGTGTGTTTCAGCTTTGTTTTTCTTGTTAATTATTTGGGTGTGTCCTATGTACATTTGTCTTATTTATTTGACAGAATTCTTTATGTAGGGCATTAACCGTACATATCTTTTCCCACTCATCTTACAGACTTACTACATCATATGACACTATAAACCTTTTCCTTTATGGCTCCTTCATTTTGTGTTTCGTTTGAGGTTTTGTGCTAGAAAATCAAACTTAGGTTGACCCCAGATTTATTTTTGTGAGCTAATAATATCAATGTTACACTGAGCAGAGAGGTGGTGGTTCCCATAAAACATGAAGTAGTCATTCCTCCTTAATTTGAAAAGCTAGTGATGGTAACAGATGAATGATTCAAGGGTTATAAGAAATATGATTATTTTTTCTTTTCATGCAGGGAGGATGTAAGTGTTAAGGTAGTTTTATGGGTGGGCAGCAGGGATGATGGAGTGTGGTTGCCTTGGGAGTTACAGTGCTAGATTGAGTAGGGTTATAAGTATAGATGGGCTAGAATAAGAACATACCAGGACAAAAAAAGCCCAGATAGTTGTATAAATATGATAAAATACAAGAAATTTTGTATTCTCTTGCCTTGTAGATTTTTAAAACTTTGCTACCTACAGCACAGAAATTACTATTAAGCATCCTATAGAAAAATGGCTGAGTGTGCATCCCTTGGCTAACATCACATTTAAATATATCTCTTGTATGTAATTATGGCTTGTGTAACTCAAGCCATTTATATTCAGAGGGTAAGTATTTGCGGTTCTGGGAAAGTTTGTGCATGTGAATGTGCAAGCTCTATGATTGAAGAGAAAGACTAAGCGTGCGAGACCCCACACCCAGCAGGAAGCTGGTGGGGTGCCTGTGCACAGGAAAGTGAGTACAGTGGGCAGAGTTCGAGCTTGCTGGAACAGGGGACGCCAATGTAATTCTTAAACTTGTGGGTTTAAACATACTAGTTTAAATTTTTAAACATTATTGAACTGTCCTCTTTACCTCAGCCTTCTCTTTTCTCTTTTACAGATCACACTTCAGTCGGTGGCCTGGGAGACAGTTTTTATGAATACTTACTGAAAGCCTGGTTGATGTCAGATAAAACAGACCATGAGGCAAGAAAGATGTATGATGATGCTATTGAGGTGATTGTTGTCGGCATACTTTTTAGCCAACATGTTTAATGTGTAATGTATTGGGTGGTGACTGAGGAGCGTCTTCTGTTTTGTCAGCTGCATTCACTATAGAGTTTGTTAGTATTTTAATATAAAAGTCTTATTAGTTTACCTTTTTGTAGCATTTTAAAGAAATTGTTGAAAGATTTTAGTGTAACATTTATGAAAAATTAATTTTAATGTATTATCTAGAAGACAGGAAGAACTTAGAGACCTATTTCCACAAACATGTCTTCTTTCAGATGACCCACTTCCCCTGCACAGCGAGTGGCTTGGGGGTGAGCAGCCACAAGCTGCCAGTGCCCAGCCCTTTTGCGCACATGTGGCGACTTGATCTTTAATGGCCATGCTGCCCATGAGGACTTCCAGGCGGATGACTGCACAGTCTAACTTGAGAACTTGTTCTCTCAACCTCTGATCTGTAGTTTCATACCCCGTGCCGAGACATTTTCAAGAAGGAGCAAGTCTCCTTCTTGAAAACGCTTTCATGTGGTATTTCCTGCACACACTGAGAGAGAAAAGTGTATCAAGCAATTAGTAAGTTTCTTTTCTTTCTGATCCAATGGAAGCCCATGTCTTCTAAGTCATTTATTTTTTAAAAATACTGTATTTTGTAAATAATACCATCCTAACTATAGTCAGTGATAATTATTCTGAGTCATAAGTATTGTTTGTCTTTAAATTGAACCAAGTATCTTATTACCCATTTTAGCCCTTACTTACTTTTTAGGGCACTGTATCCCTCTAAGTTGCTTATACAGACGTACAGGAGGCAGACAGCTCTGTGGCATGTAGCTCTTTGCCCATGCCCATTGCAGGCATTCTATAGAAGTGTTCTGAGGAATTGTGTTAACTAAGAACTTCAGCTATGGACATGTAACCAAGAATCTATATTGGCTTATAACATTCTTTATAAAGTATTACAATTTAAAACTGTTGCAGTTTCATTCACCTAGATACTTTGTCATCCTGGAGAAATCATCTGGGCAGAATGTAAAGGCATCAGAGTCAGTGTTGGCAGAGTGCTCAGTCCTTCCCAGCAGGCTGTGTGCTCGTCAGGGGCAGACTGGTTTGCTGATCATTGCCACTGGCACAAGACCTGACACAGAACAGGCCTTCAGTAAATATTTGATAAATGAATGACTGATAATTTGAGAAAGTTTCATCATACGCCACGTAATCATTTTTTCTTCATAGTTGGCTGCTTATTTGTAAAAAAAAAACATTATTTTTGCTTCACTCTGTCTAAGTCTTCCTAATGGAAAAGGAACATTATATTTGTCATTTCTTAACTATGTGCAAAACAAGCATGATACCGGTTTTGAAAATTAATCTCAAATTATTTTTCGTGAATCATCTATGTGTTAATATGTTTTAAGAATCTACATTTGACATGGAATTAAGGAAGAGAGAAGAAAGATAACTCTAGTCTAATTGCGATAAATCATAATCAAAAATCTGCCTTTCTGAAGAAACAGTTCAGTGAGTCCCTTCCCATCTCATCCTCCCCTGTAAACTTAGAGGACCCTTATTCCTGGCTCCTACATCTTAGCTTCTTTTTTAAAAACATGTGTATCAGGCCCTCCCTGGTGGTTTCAGTGGGTTAAAGCACAGCACTAGGAAGCTAAAGCCTCTTCAGCATGAGATTGATCCCCGCCCCAGGAGGTGACCACAGGGCGCGGCAGACCTCTCCTGACCCGCCCGCTGCTCCCCTCAGCAGTGTACTTCATTACTCGGCCTGTTCTGCTCCCCACTCTGTCTCTGGCGATTCCTCTCACCCTCCACACCTCTGGCCTGTACCCCAGGTCTGTATGTATAAATAAACAAATCTTAAAAAAGAAATGTGTATCATTAACGTTTTACTTCCTGATCAAGTTTATATTGAGTCTTCCATTTTTAAAATAGTGAAGCAAAAACATAACTAATAGTGTCAAATTTGTAAAGATTTCTTTAACACTTTTTAATAAAAGAACAATAATATTACTCTTACCTGCCATTAAGTAGTTTAGCATTTATATAAATTGGACTTTTAGACATTCCTTGTATTTTTATAGACACACAAGAGCCGTATAGGACATTTCAGGGCTCAATAATTGAATTACTAGTTAAAAACCCACATTGGTACCCACCTTTTACTTTATTTCTAGTAAATTCTTTAAAATATATTTGGATATCTTCTAATTATTAACAAAGTAAGATTAATGTTAAAAAAAAAAAAGCCAGAAATCACAGAAATACGCAGAGATTGGAACCCAAGTGCGGCTGTCATTCTGGAGGTGTTTGTGAGTGCTTTGCGTGCAGCAGCCTTGCTGTGGGCCATGAGGGCGCAAAGATCGTCATTGTCTCTGCAGCTGTAAAACTGAGCCTTTCTTTTGTGCTTCGTAGTGTTATGGTTAAATAAGAAAAAAAAAAATACAAAGCTTGAAATCCAATGGTAGTTCCTTATCGATCACCTTCTATTCCCCAGTAGATCAAGGAGTTACTAAGAATACGGCTTATTTATAGAAAGTTTTATTAATTTAACATTTTTGAGTCTGTACTACACATACAGACATTGTGGAGGGTAAGACAATAAATACGGCGAAGTCCCTGTAGTTCAGCAAAACTTGCATTATTATTGTAAAATATACAGAGTAAGTTTTTCCAAAGGTGATAGTTACTGAACAAATCAGAAAATAACACATGATAAAAATGTGGATTAGTCCTTAACTCCTTTATTGTCAGAGAAGTATAGTAGCTAGTCATATAGTGCCTTCTAAGTGAGCTAAAGCAATTTCTTATACTTTTCCAAAAAGTATTTCTAAAGGTGGAGATTTAATTCATAACCTCTCTTAATAGTCCGAGAGCTTCAGTTCAGAGGAACAAATCTCTTAAAAATCTCATCTTAACATTCAATGTTGAATTCTACTTCATGTCGTATTCCAGTTTAATATAAAATACTTTATCCCTCACACATTTTTGAGTAAACGGACATTTCAGGCAGGTAAACTTTGTTAGTCACGTGGCCACCCCGGTCATGGGCACAGCTCCCAAAACTAGTGCCTGAGTTTGCCAAGGAAAGGACCCAGAAGCTAGGCTGAACTTCCAGCTAGTCTTTTAAGCTTTATACCATGAGATGTTTCGCCCAATTGTACCTTTTTAAGTTAATTGGACATTGAAAAAATTATAGTTAGTGATACATAGAAAAATAGAAATCATTTTAACTATCAAAGTCGTATTTTTCTGATTAACTTAGAATTTTTTCCTACTCAGTTTCTGTTGTATGAAAAGAAATTCAATTAGCAAGGTATAAGCTAGTTCTACCTTGCCATCATGATCTCCAGTGGCTATTATGAATGCCAGTTACCTCAAAAATTTAAAAAATCTTAAAATGGGTAGTGTGAACTTAAAAGGTCTCCCCTCTCCCACCTTGTCATATTGACTGTGGAGTATTTCTTCAAGGTTAGATGCAACTTGATTACTCACTCAAGAATTTACATATTAGAAACTAAGTGTCCAGTTGGGGAAAGTTACTCTTTTTCAAGAGATCCTATTATCAAGGTTTAACAGTAGCCAAAAAGATATAATAAGCTTAAACATAGTTTGCTTTTTAAATCTGAAGTACTTCCTTTTTCTTGTAGGCTATAGAAAAACACCTTATTAAGAAGTCCCGTGGAGGCCTCACCTTTATTGGAGAATGGAAGAATGGGCACTTGGAAAAGAAGATGGGGCATTTGGCTTGCTTTGCTGGGGGCATGTTTGCACTAGGAGCGGATGGTTCCAAAACAGATAAAGCTGGCCATTACTTAGAGCTAGGCGCCGAAATTGCACATACATGTCATGAATCCTATGACAGAACTGGTAAGACTGTTAGTAAAGCAAGTTACTAGCTAAAAGAACCTCTTGAGTTAAAACTATATCTAGGAATTAGAAGGAAAACAGTTGATCAGTTTATTCTAACACAATAAATCATCTTCTTAAGAACTTAAATTTTAATTCTGGAAATGTGTTCTGCATCATTTAAAAAATTTTTTTTCTGATAGCTGTTACTGGTTTTGTTAATAAGGGTTTTGTAGTAATTATTTTAAAGATAAGAGGTAGGATATTTGAGGATATGTAAGATATACATTTGCCCTTTTTAAAGAATTTTGGCCATTCATTCCACCATCTATGAAACCAGTTACTTAAAAGAGCACAGAGTTGACGGACTTAGAGGATGTCTCACCTATCCTCTTGTGAAAGTAAGAATGACAGAAGAAATAGTAGTAATATTGAATGTGTAATTGGTATCTCAGTGATGACTAATTTGTTTTGTTACCAAGTTGTGAGTTGTTTGTGTGCCTTTCTCTAAAAATGCCCTCTGATGTCTGCTTTAGGCAAATATGTAGTATTTCTGGGCTTCAGAGTCCTTATCTGTAATGTGAGTATGATTCTTACAAAAATTGGTGGTGAAAGATACATACATGTATTAAAGCATAGCTAAATAAAGAAAGGTACCAGCTGAAAGTGGTACCCGCATCCCAGGGCCAGAGGCCCTTGGTGTATTCCGCAGGCTTAGCGTACCGACGGGATTGGAAAGAGGTTATCTTCAGTGGCGATACCTAATGGAGAGAACCCTAGTGTTTCTACAATTAAAAGAAATTTAATTGTGATTAAATGCTTTATTCCAGCCTGAATGCAAGTCCTATTCAAGGAATTGTTGCACTTTTGTAAAATATATGTAGTGGCCTTGTTTTATTCAAGCTGGCAAGTGGGTAAAATTATTGATGAAATTCTTGGTGACTGGCAATTTGCACCTCTTCTGTGCTTTATATACAGAGACTTAAGAGCAGGGAATTTATTTTTAAATTTTGAAATATGTTGTTCCTTTTATACTGTTGTTTGCTTTGAAAAGGGTTATTATCTACAGTCAGATATAATTAAATATCTGAGCTTTTAAATGTTTTTTATATATGTATTATTTTGAAACGACTTTCAAATTGTCTTTTTAAAAAATAATTCTGCACAAATAGTTATCTATACTGATTTGTTTTAGAAGAAAATAGAATATGAAATGTGCTTATGTTGGTTTTACACTTGTTTCCAATAGATTACAATATTCTTGTCAGTTTAGCATAGGCTTAGAAGTATGTTGATGTACGTCATTTATGGGAAATACTTCATGTTAGGAAAATATATGTATTATAAGTCTATTACAAGTAAACCAATATGAGTCTTTTCAAATACTGATTTTGCAAAACAGCAGTTAAGGTAAAACAAATGACAAAAATAACTTTATACTTCATTCTTTCAAGGAAGAAAGGAACTCTGGCAAACACAGATTGTCTATTATCCTCATTTAATTTTTTTTTTTTTTTTTTGCCACATTACAGCATTAAAACTTGGTCCTGAATCATTCAAGTTTGATGGTGCAGTGGAGGCTGTGGCGGTCCGGCAGGCTGAAAAGTATTACATCCTCCGCCCAGAAGTAATTGAAACCTATTGGTACCTGTGGCGATTTACTCATGACCCAAGATACAGGCAGTGGGGCTGGGAAGCAGCACTGGTAAATACCTCTTCATGCACGAGTGTCCGGTCCAGCGCGCTGTCCTTGCGCCCTCGCCCCTGCAGGGCTCTGCTTTCATGCTCTGGTGGGAAGTGCCAAGGTGATCCTCAGGACCCTTGGAATAGTTCTCTGTTCAACTGTTATCTTACAAACACTTGGCCACTCTCACTGAACAGAGGAGTCATTTACAGTTTTCACTGTTAATACAGTGTCTTTGCCTCAATGCTTAACTTCTGAAAAAGAAGTAGGTCATTGTAAAACCTCCCAGCTCACGGTCTGTGTAGATTACCCCCATTCACGTCAGCTTGTGTTCTGAGTAATTCCTTCATGAATCACAAGATGTCATTTTTTTAGGTTAAAAGACTGCACACACACAGTCTTGCTTAAGTGTGTCAGACATCTATTGCACATGGGCAGCATTTTCAATCTAGGAAAAAAGATCTGCTTGAAATGAGGACTTTTAAATGATTAATAAGTAAAAGAAGCCAGTGGTTTTTTCATAAAATAGTGGTTTTTTTAGAGCCCCTTCCTGCTTTCTACCTGCGGAAGAAGAAAATCACCAGTCTTTTCACAAGAGTGTATCTCCCTGGCTTTAAGAACCTTTGCAGAATGACTAAGGTGTTTCAAGGAGAGGAGGGATGAACAGGATTTTCAGTGAGAATGGCAGCAGAAGGACCTGCCCTTCTCACCAGGAGGCAGGTCTTGAGGGCCCCGTGGTAATCTAAGATACAACATGGCCTCATCACCCACTGTTTTGCTTTCCAGGGTTTCAGTTACTTACAGTCCAAAATACTGTTTACAGTCAGATATTTTGAGAGAGAGAACATTCATATAACTTTTATTACAGTGCATTATATTTGTTTTACTTTGTTGTTAATCTCTTATTGTACCTAATTTATGAATTATACTCTATCACAAGTATGTTTATGTACACGCACAAAAAAAGTATCAAAGCTTGATACTGTTTTAGCCACCCCTAGACAATGTATACCCTGCAGATAAGAGGGTCTGTGTGTGACCCACAGGTATCATTTATCATTCAGACCCAGCTAGTCCTTACAGCATTTAGCAGTAAGACTCACCAATTATGAAGGTGGTGGTCACATAGTACAGGACCCGACACAGCCTTCACTGATGCTGCTAGTGAAACTCTGCACCCCCAACCCCCACTGGCCACCTCTCTTGGATATGAAGAAAGTAGAGGGAAGAAGGCTGAGAGAGAATAGTGATTAGTGATATTTTATGTTTCTATAACTTATTCCTATTCCATTTCCATCTTCAGACTGCAAATTTGAGCCTATTATGCTTGAAGACTCATCTTCAACACAAACTGTAAATGACTTAAAGAGCAGTCATGCCTCCCAGCTGTTTTTTCAGTGTCCTTAAAATTCTTTGTAACTCCACAGTGGGAAAGATACACAGTCGTGGTGAAGAACATAGTGTTCAAAAGCTCTTACAGTCAAATTCCGTTTAAGATAGTTAAAGTACTGAACCTTTTGGTGAGAAGACTTAAAACCCAGCTATAATCAAAACAGAGCTATATGAAAATGAACAACTTAAACAAACACTTCCATGTTAATTAGCTTTTCTAGAAGGTCAGACAAATGGCACAGTGGTAAGACTAGGAACAAAATGCCCGGGCAGTGATGACCAGTTAAGTAGCCACACTTCGCTGTTAATGCTTAGTTCAGCAGTATCGCAGGGCTGGGAAGAAGCACCTGTGCTTCCAGCTTTTTGTCATTGACTTAATTCTGGAGTGTGACACACCTCCAGGATGTATAGTTGCTTTGAACTAAAACCGGGATTATGAAGAGAGTCCACCTGACCCAGGATATTTTATTTAGGCATGTTCATGATGCACAAAGGTACAAGCTAAGATTCATAGCTCCCACTCAGCATGTAGATGAAGCTCTGCCTCAGTTTTCAAAACTGCAGGTGAAGTTACTAAGATGACCTTGGGAGGGTTTGGATATTAAAAAGTCAGTGTACATGCAGCCTTCAGCATGTGGTGAATGCTTCGTACTTACTGACTTGATTCTGAAATTGTCGAGGTAGGTATGTGGGCGGGCACTTGCTGCCACAGGGAACCCCACCCCTAATGACTTAGTCACAGGACTGTGGTGTGAAGGATCTGGCCTCTGGTGGGGTGCTCGCCATCAGTGTTGACTTTCACTGCTTTCACTGTGCAGAGCTTCTAAGAGATTTATGTGTGTGTGTGTTCATAAAGATTTATTTATGCAGACAGAACTGGGGTACAGGCCAGAGGTGCAGGGGTGGTGAGAGGATTCACCAGAGACAGAGTGTCGAGAACAGGCAGACTGACAAACACTGCTGAGGGGAGCAGCGGGTGGGTCAGGAGAGGTCTGCAGCGCCACGTAGATCACCTCCGGGACAGGGATTGAACTTATGCTCAGGTGGCTTTAACTTCTTAGTGCTGTGCTTTAACCTGCTGGGCTACCTGGGAGGGCCCCTAAGAATGTTTTGGATTTTTGTTTATCCTTGGAAATGAAAATACTACACTTAAAATTTTTCATTCAAATTGACCTACAACTTGAGTTACCAGAATTAATGAGGCTTCAATGTGCTATACAGATCTCTAATTTAATGTGATTTTGGCTCCTAAGTGAGGAGAACATAAGGTGTCATAAATGATTGTTTTTGATGAGGGAGAAATTCTGCAGGAAACAGATACCTCAGTTAATTTTTCTAGTAGGAGGAGATAGTGTGAGATAAGAAATCTTACTCTTAAACCATAAAGTTGTTGTATAAATCCTGAGCTTCTGATTATAGTTTTCTTTGCATGTCCTTCTAAGCTTGAAATTCTGTGGAATTGACTCTGGTCTGTCTCTCCCACAGGCTATTGAAAAGTATTGCCGAGTCAGTAGCGGGTTTTCCGGGGTGAAGGATGTGTACTCCTCTACCCCTACGCATGACGATGTTCAGCAGAGCTTCTTTCTTGCTGAAACACTGAAGTAAGTAGAGCCGTGTTCTTTTGTAGCCTGGCTTTGCTGTCTGATGGATGAGTGCATGATGAATTACGGGTATGTGATATACTAAATTTTATTGGAAGTCTTTTTTTAAGTGATTGGGGCTTAAATAATTATTGGCATCTCATTAATGACTTAAACTATGAGGTAGATATTTTATCAATGAAGACTTTAGTACCTTTATTTTATCCTTATCTCCTTAGTATACATTAGTATACATTAGAATTATCTTCCTAAAATCCAAATAACTGGGCCATCTAGAGTTTCTAATTCAGTAGATCTAGGGTGGGATCTAAGAATTTGCATTTCCGACAGCTCCTGCTTTTGATGCTGGTTCTGAGAACACATCTGAACTCTGCTGTAGTCAGTGGAACCTGTTAGGGGTGGTGGTTCGTGAGGGCGGCAGGCGATTATAAGCAAAGCCAGCATCTTCCCATGAGGAAGATACATAAGGGGAACTAGGGAAAGAAAAACGATAACTTTATTTGGGTTTGTCTGAAAGTAACCTTGATATCTTGGATTAACCCAGAAGGAGGTAGAGACCTTAAATATGTCCCTGTCCCTAAAGATGTAGAAAGTGAAAATCTTCTATCCTGTTTTTATTTTCTGTATATTTGCATCTGAATGGCTTATAAACAAAACCTCTTGTTCAAAAATGAAAAAATATTTTCAGACCTTCTTTAGGTCACACAGGGTAGATATATATCAATAGATAAAAAGGACAAAGATTTCTACCCTCCTGGAGTTTGCATTCTGTGAATCTTAACTGGAAAATGGCAATGTCTGTCTCAGCATTCCATTTCCGAAGTGGCTGCTCTAGTCCAATTTTTCTGTTACTATCCTTAGTACTCTTTCAACCTGCTTATTATGCAGTTGTGGTTTTCCTTCTTATAACTATGTCGTGAGTTTTTATCATTTTTATTATGTCATTTCTTTATTTTGCCCTTTCCTTTCCATACGGGCAGTTGATCCTCACCCAGGCCTTTACCACGCTGAGATGGCTTAAGAGATGTGTGCAGTTGTCAGCTCCCCGCCCGTCTCTCCTGGTATTGGCTCCCTTTTGTCAGTAGGCGCAGCACAGTGTGGGCAGGTGAGCGCTCCGGCCGCTGCCTGAGCCCACAACAACGTTAGCGGTGAGCCTGCCCTCTGCGAGCCAAGTGTGCCCCTTTGCTCTTAGTTTTCGCACCCGTACACTGGGATTTCACCCAAATATGGTGGGATCTTTTACCTTTATTTTAAAGATTTATTTATTTGTGCATATAGAACTGGGATACAGGCCAGGGGTGCAGGGGTGGTGAGAGGCTTCCCCAGAGACAGAGTGGGGAGCAGAACAGACCATCTTCTGAAGTCCACTGCTGAGGGGAGCAGCGGGGAGACAGGAGAGGGCTGCCGGGCCCTGTGGGTCAGCTCCGGGCCGCGGATGGAACTCGCACTGAAGGGGCTGCGGCCAGCATGCAGTGCTGTGTCCTAACATGTTGTGCCACCAGGGAGGGCCCAAGATCTTTTATCTTTTAGAGAGAGAAATTACAAGTACAGTGAGTACTTGTGTCTTCACTGGAACCTGCTGTGGTGACTGCCCTGAGCGCTCCGCGCGGCCTCCACGTGTGAAGTGTGCACGTGCGCGCACCCGCCGGCACGTCAGTGCATTTACTGCTGGGCAGGGCAGGGTCTCGCACATGGCGTCAAGAAAAGGCACGATCGTGCATGATCACAGGGCAGTCATCACCTTTGGGAAACTTTGTGCAGCAGTGCTAGTGTCTGACAGGTGGTCCAGGCCGAAAGTCCTCAGTTTCTCTCATAATGTAACTTAGCAACCGCAGCCCAGGGCCAGGAAAGGATCATTTGTTGTATTTGGTTTCCTGGTCTGTTTAGTCCCCTTTAAATGAGACGCTCTGTTCTTCATGCCACTCTCTTCAGCTAAAATGGTTCATTCATTTCTAACTTCATTTATTTTACTTACACACTCCAGCCTTAAACTAAACTAATCTATATTCAAATATTCATCTACCTGTGTGTAAAATCTACCTTTGCCTTTTATTATCTATTTCATTCTTAATTGGCTCTGACAGCCATGCCCTCACCCCTCTTACTGATGAGTGCCCCTCTTGTTCCTGAGTTTAGCTGCGAGCTGCCTCCGGCACATTGGCTCCCGCAGTTCCTTCATCGCTAGTGACACTGAATCAGCCCTGGCTTTGTGCACCTGAGCACTTGGCCTTGGGCTGCCATTGTGTGTCCAGTATGCATGGGGATGGCCCCAGTTGGCCTTGGGACTTTTCCTGCCAAGTTCTGTCATACCTTTCTCAACATAGCCCTCTAGGTAACTAGTAATTTTTATGTGTATAATTGCTGTAGTACTAATTCACATTCAGAAAAAAAAAAAAAAAGTTTGCATTTGGATTCACACAGTGAAAAAGGTGAGGCTCAAAGGATGTACATGAATAACTGTTAACAGTTCCGGGCTTGGCCAGTGGTCGCCGGTGAGTGAGCGCAGCCTTCCGCACCGAGCTGCCTGGCAGCTGAAGCAAGAGGACTTGTCTCCTGCCCTGTCTCGTCATCTTGGGGGAGGGGAGTATTTTACAGACAGATGAGACGAAGTGTTTTGTTAGTGCTAAGAGGCGCTTTAATTTGTATAGCACATTTTTTTTTAATGTACTATTAGGTAAACCATGTGAAATTACCCTTTTAAAAAATCAAAACAGTTGATTACTGGCAATTTCATATGATTTAACATAAAACGTAATGACAAATACCTTCGGTGATGTTCTAAAAGAGGCAGAAACACATTAAGTGACTTACTCATTATAAAAAATAATGGCATAATGTTAAACTGCCATTGGATCAAGACATTTCAGTGATTATAGTTAAAAGTTTCTATCTTTCTCTAATCAGTGAAATAAAGTTTTGTCAGAAGCTGAATAATGGTAATTTTATTATGAATTCATTAAAAGGAAACAATCCATGTGTTTTTGCCGCCAGAAATGGGTTGGCAGTGGCAAAATTGAAAAGTCTGTGTTCTTAACCTAAGACGACAGTCATTTTAGTTTTTCACATTGTCCTAGATGCTGCACTATAGATATGCTATAGCTATGGCTGTTGATGCACATTTTCTGTTTCTTCTGTTTCCATCATTAGTGCTAAATTCATTCACTCATTTACCTTACATACCGATGGCACAACAAAAATTACGTACCGTGTAAGCTTGGAAGTGGGTTCCTTCAAGTAGTTTCCTTAAAACCCTTACACTGTAATAAATGGAATCAAATACACAGATTTGCAAGAAATGCTAAATATATTAAATGCACAAAGGAAATGTTAACAAAATTGCAAGGTCATTTAAGGGAGGAAGAGTTTACTTAACCTGAAAGGAAGGTTTCATGAAAGTGGGGACGTTCAAACCGTACAGTAGCAATAATGCAGTGAACTGGAATTCAGGGGAGTACCGCTAATGCAGACAGTGGAATATTAAGAATGAAATAAGAGCTCTAGTGGTGGAATTGACAAGCCTTATTATCTTATTAGATATATGGAGATTCAATAAGGAGAAAGAATCAGAGATAATACTCATTTTCCAGCGTGGATAACATTAAGGATTATGACACCAAGTTACAAGAAGAAATAGATTTCCAGAAAAGTTAATGAGTTATTTTGACCTGTGCTCCCAAGAGCCATTTACAAATATAGATCCAGAATTCAGAAAGATTCTGATGAAGAAGAGACCTAAGACATATGTCTGATCCTTCGAAGGTGCCTACGTCTCACAAAGAAAGGAGGGTCAAGCATAGCTTGGCAGAATGAACTCCTGCATTTATACTCTATTTTATCGAAAGCCATTGAAATGAGTTTGAGTTTGGGGGGCTAAGAACGTATAAAGAGATAAGGACAAAAGAATGAAAAAGAAATCAACAGTACATAGGAGATGCCAGCACATTTTTAAAACATATGGAAAACAGTAGAGAAAGCTAAGTACCTGTGGCAGGAGAAGTAATTTAAAGCCAATGGATGACTGCGTGGGAAAGACCAAAGACCAAGGCACAGGTAAGACTGAAAACTAAGATTTAAGAAGGGAGTAGTTAGCCCCCAAACCTGCCCCTGCCTTATCTCCACCGTGAATGAGAGAAGAGATTTTTTTGACTGAAGAGGTCAAATCATGGAGACCCCAGATGTGGCGTCTCCAGTGACTAGCCCCACCTGAAAGCAGTCAGGAGATTGGAGGCTTCCTTTCTAGAAAAATTGAGTAGTCTACAAGAAAAATAGAGCTGCTGATACATGAGCTACTCTCAACACAATATCCACGTTCTCACTCAGCCCCAGTGGTGAAGCCAGACCAGCAGGCCACAGGTTCCAGCCTCCTTGGTCCATGTTAGTTTGACAGTTTTGAGTTAGGAGTATTTATCAAGCTGTAGACATACAAGATTGTGCATGTTCCTCATGCATATTGCAGTTTTTGACGTTTATTTAAAAAAAAAAATAGTACATTTACTCTATGATTACATGGAAGGTATCCAGGGAAAAACTGAGTACCTCAAAGAAGTGACTTACACTTCAGGCTTAAACACCATTTTCATAGGGACAGGGGGATGTCGGCCAGTAGTGAAGAATAAATGCTTCTTTTACAAAAAAGGTGCATCTTAAACATAGTAGATTAGACAGGGGATAGGAGAATTTATGACACGGTTTGTGATGATGACTTCCAGTCTCCTCTCCTGTAATAAGATTCTGTCTTCCATGATCAATGGAATTTCTGGGGAAGGAATGTATTGACAGCAAGTTCTGTTTGAAGAGAATTGTCTGTAGGAAAAAAGGGGTGAATTCAGAAAAGGCTTCTCCTTTCATATGTTGTTTTTCAAGCACAAACAGCTTAGAATAAATTCGTTTACCAACGTGGCATGTTTTGGAATTGCATGTTCTGAACTTTGAGGTGGCATAGATTGTTACCCTTTAAATGATTCACAATATATGGGGTTTGGATGCTTTTCATTTTAAGATCCTCACATGTTTCTGTGTGGGTCAGTGCTGTGAAATTCAGAATCCTTGGGGTAAAGGACAGATCTAATAACTTCCAAGGGGAGAGGAAATAAAAGTGAAAAAATGATCTGTAATCAGAATGACCTCAGACTTCTCAGTAACAGTGACAGCTAGAAGCATTGGCATTCACTCTAAATTATGAAAAAAATTAATTCCAGCTTATAATTCTAAGTCTTTGGCCAGGCAAGGTTTCAAAGGTACTTTCTACATGGACTTCTCAGTGAAGTCTATATGCTTCATCAGAACTGAGTCTAAACCAAAAGGAAAGGTGTGGATATAGAGGGCCAGCGAAGGGGGGTTGAGAGGACAGTTAGTCCAGATGAACAGACTCTGGAGATCATTTAGGAGTAGATACAGGCAGCAGCAGGTTTTCATGTAGTATTAGTGGTAGATATTAGTACTGCACCTACTTTCTGTTAGGTGAGGAGTGGAATTATGCAAGAAAAAGTAAAAACGGAATAGTTTCTGTTGATAAGAAATTGCTTCAAGACTTTCATTTGGGATCTAGATTTTATTACAAAAATTGGTAAATAATAACCCTCTCCATGTTTCTCCTGCAGAAAGAAATACATTCTTTGATCTGGCTTTGTTCCCTCCAAGAATTGTCGTTTTATTAGCGCTATGATCAGAATCCCCATTAGTTTGACGAATTCCAAGCATTGTAGCAAGTGGAGCACCAGGAGTTCTGGGAGCATTTTCTAGCAGTTGCCCTTAAGTCGTTGAAAGAGTATCTTTGTTTGGATTCTTGTTAGTTCTGTCGCTTTGTACCATTTACTATCATAAATCATTTCCTCTTAACAAAACCTTTGACAAGAGAGCATGTTATTTTATATCTGTACCTCAGTGTCTGCACCAGTTAATCTAGATCTAGTTAAGCATCGAATCTCAGCTCAGTTCTGTGCCTCTATATTTGAAGTAGTTTTTGGCTAAAAGAAACCTCATTAGTTGGAAATGCAGTATTTTAAATACATTTCTTATTAAAAGAAAAAGAAATCCCATACACTTGAGACCAAACTTAGCACCGCAGTGTGCTGTTTTCACTGGCCTGGAAATCTCTGGGGGTGGAGGTCATGTCGCATGTGTCCACGGGTCTTGCTTGTGTGTGGCCTCTTTTCCTGCCTGTCTTTTAAAATTCAGACTTTGGATGTAATGGCAAAATCCTGAAAAATATATAAGACTGTGGCAAGAATCTGAAATATTCAGAACTATGGGAAATTATTTATGTGTCAGGATGTTTATGACTGTCATGGAAATGAGTTGTATTAAATAATATATGCACAGTACTAGCGGCTAGTTAAATAGTTGATAGCGACAGTAAGACGCAGGGGATGTCATGGAGCCAGTAGTGACTCCAGGCTCTTCACGGTCGAGTCTGAAGTGGAACAGGAAGTGCACACATGTGTATGTACATGTAAAGCTTATAAATGACCATTTGATAGATATTTCAACAACATTAAAATGTGAAAAGCCTGGTTTAGTTTAACTGATTTTTTACTGTTCTGCTTTTGCTTTTATAATCAGAAAAAAAAATTACAAACTGCAGCAGTATTCTGTCTCCAGTTCAGTTGCTGTCTTTGTGACTGGAATCAAGGGAAATTTTTTGAGCTGCAAAAAAATTTAGAGGTCGTTCAGTTCTGCAGACACCACCACCCTCCCCTTAGTCCCACACACCGACATTCTCAGTGTTGAACGTCTTTTTACAACATGCCATTTATTTTGTAAAATAGTCTTTCGTTAAGCTCATCAGTTGAAAAGCTCCTGCTATTAGGACGATCTTTCTTGTATGACTTGATAAATCTGCTGTACTGTGAATTCCATTCAGTGAGCTTAGTTTTGCTTCTGGGGAGGTTTCTTCGTGTTCTTTTACAGATAGTTGTTACGTCCCAGGCTAAAAACTTCATGCTTCTGTCCTGTTTCTTTCTGTGACACGAGTCAGGTTGCCTTCTCTGGGATGAGCCCAGGTTCTAGACTGGACACTGCATTCAAGATGTAGCCAAAACATTTAGTAACTCAGAATGTGCTCATGAGCTTTCATCAGTGCAGTAATGCAACATTCACCTTCCTGGCAGTCCTGGCATATAGCTTGAAAATATACTGTAGATCTTTATCTTTTACATGCACCAAGATAATGATTTTCTCTCGCTGTCGATACTCTTTACTGTTACACTGAGTCGTTACACTTCGGTGAAGTGCTGCATGTGTCCTGCCAGTCACGTCTCCAGCGCGGCCACTTCTCCTCCTCTGTGTTCTCCAGCTGCCCTCTGCATTCTCACTCGTGTGTCTTCATTCTTGCTGTCCATTCTGCACGGACTTCTCCTGTCGTTTACTTACCCTGACGAAGTCCTGTTACCTTTTCAGACCTGCCTCAGATGTTGCGCCCTCTCCAGTCACACTTGCTGGACTCATCCCTCCTCAGTACTTCCCAGCACGCAAGTTCTGACAGAAGAGCCTTACCCTCAGTGTCAGCTCAGTGTCTGCGTTAGAGTGCGCACTCAGAATGTTTCCTGAATTACACAGAATTCATAGCACGGCACTAGTCGTAGTAAAAGGAATTACGCAAGCATCTCCTCTGTACTGAGCAGCTCCTGAGAAATCAGGGCTAATAATGGGTTTAATATAGTTTAGCTTAAAAGTTACAAAAAACCCCCCAAACAAACAAAAAAACCCACACCAGTATGTGGTTATGACAAAATAAATTGTATGAGACAGAAAAAGTGAAAAATAGAATTTCTGTCCACTTCTCATCCATTCTCACTCAATATTGATGTCGCCTCTTAGAAGTTTCTTGAACATATGTAAGCATATAAATAATATTCATAATATATATTCTCTCATTAGACTTTACTATCATTTAGATTTTTTGATGCGCACTTTCATGACTCCCTGGTAGAATTCAGACTGGGATTTGCCCAGCATTATAGGTAGTCAGGTAAGAATCAGTGGTGCATTAATTCTGTCATTCCAATTTCTAAGTCACCACCCCCACTTACGGTGCTCCTGGAGACTTCAGGGACCCTTGCTTCTAAGTGTTGTCACTGCCCTTCAGAAGCCGTTAACAAGCCGGTAAACCTGCCGTGACACTGCTGATCCTGAAGGCAGCTCCAGCTAGCAGCTTGGGTACCTGCTCCAAGAATTAGAAACGCGGCTGAAGTTTTTGGTATACGTCAGTTGGATTGCGAGAACAGTGCACTTATGCTGTCAGTGCTCACCAGGAAGTGTTACTAATGTCAGGCTCTACTGTGAGCTCTGTGAGTCAGTAGAACATGACTGACACTGTGCATGGTCTTTAAAAGAATGCCTTTGAGAACGATGAATTTATTTTATGCCACTGTTTTAATAACATCATTGTTTTCTGTACTTTGATCGGTGTGCAGAGTTTTAAAACATCTGTCTTATTTCAGCAGTCCTACTGAATTTTCTTAAAGCTCTTTCCATCTTACTGGATTTTCTTCGTGTATTTTGGATCATGTCAGTGACTGGAGTTCATTTTCTTACATGTTTTACATGAAACTTCAAAATAATAATTTGTTTCCTCTGATGTTGTTGTAACTGAGCCACTTGATGACCTCATTGAATTCTAATTGAAGCTCTTTTCCCCTCTCTCTTATTTTCAGATATTTATACCTGCTGTTCTCTGGTGATGACCTTTTACCTTTAGACCACTGGGTGTTCAACACAGAGGCTCACCCTCTGCCCGTGTTACATTTAGCCAACGCCACACTTTCAGGAAATCCTGCTGTTCGATGAAAGCGGCTCCAGAAAGACCATTTTCTCCTGTGTTTTGTTTACATGGACCACTACAGAAATTAGTCTGGAGAGGGGCTTTGGAAGACTTGGACCTCTTGGTCAACTTTGCAGGGTGAAACGTGACTCTTCCCCATGGAACTTTTCCGCTTGTAGATACATCACCTTTGAAATGATTCCATTTTATACCTGACCAAAACATAATCTGGTATGTGTAAGACAGAGACTTGATGTTCTTTGATTCTTCATGAGATTGTCACATGAAAAATTATGCCTGCTCCGACTACATTATTCTTAAAGCGCCCTGGAGCTGGAGGCCAGGCCGCCTGGGAGTGAGCCCAGCGGCGGGACAGAAGCTGCAGGTGGCCTTTCGCCCGAGGGTGTGTCCGTGTCCTCCCGTGGAGCAGCTTTCAAATCGGCTTTCAGATATTCACGCGTTTGCTCCCTTTCTCTCCATTTCTAATAATGGAATGAACTGAAGTAAACGAGCAGAAGAGGGGACAGCCGCGCAGAGCAGGAAGTCCCGGCACAGGCAGGAGCAGCCCCTCCCCGCCGGCTCTCCAAGGCCCGGGTGACCAGCCTGGCGCCGCGGGCCGCCCCACCGCATACCTGGGCAGATTCCGTCTCTGGGGCATGACCTGCCAGAGAAGACTCTTCCGGCCTCATCTCCATGGGGAGCCTCTGGAACCGCCGCAGAGCCGCCCCTCCGAGCAGGCCGAGCCAGGGGCTCTGCGCATGTCCTTGGGTCGGCTGGGGAGCATGACCGGAGGGGACACGGGCAGCCCACTGGCCTGGAGGCCTGTTCTGACACACAGGCCTGGGCTTGCTGCTAGGAGATTATTTTTCCAGATCGGCAGATCTACCGAGTAAATTGTGTCCACTTTAACCGCGTTATAAATTAGTAGCGCCCCTCCGTGTACCACTTTATTTATGTGGCTTGGCAGAATTCACTGTACTGTATGCAACTCTCAATTTACCTTGATGAGCCAAATTACTTTTATAACATTAAATAAAAAATAAAATACAGTGAAACTTCCTTAAATATTCTATCTGGAATGGGGACAGGAGATCCCTTATTTATTATCAGATGAGTGAGCTTTTCACAAATATTTTATGTAGAAAATAAATTCAGCTATTATTTTCTCCAAGAATATTTATAGAAATCCAAAGAATCACAATGCTTCAAAATAATTTTTAGTGATAAAAGATTGGTATAATTGAGCATATTACACTAAATTTGGGTCTATCTGAAGGACTTTCTCACCATCGGTAAATTTTACAATATTATTTTTAAAGAAACTGCTATTTCTTTATATTTTGGTGGAAGACTTAAATTTTATCAAGAATTCTATTGTAAGATAAATATCTAACACTGTATACATGTTCTGTCCCTTGAGTTTTTGTCTCAGTACAAGATGTGTTTTTCTTCTTTACACTTAATACATGCAGCTTCCGTGGGCAATAAAAGCTGGGAGTCGTTTAATTAGCCTAGTGTTGACTCTGAATTTGAAGAGTTCATGAACCAGTATGCCAGGAAGCCCACTTTGGAATTCCAGTGGCTTATTTACTATTATTTTGATAGCTTTTATTTTTAACCTTTTATTAGCATGTAGTAGGTTTAAATCGGGGAAAGATTTAATAAATTAATATAATTAAAGATTTTCTGAGGTGAGCATCTCACACCGCCAGTGGCCAGACGCTGCTCAGGCACAGCAGTGACCCAGCCGCGGCCACCACCCTCGTGTTCAGGACGGGGGAGAGGACGTGCGGTCGGTTGGTCGGTCGCTTGAGTCTTCAGTAACATTACATGTTAGCACATGTTTTGACACTGTAATTATCTTTTACTACTTGAAAAAATAAAAATTTTAAATGTGAAGGGTAGATGATAGTAACTTTGGGAGGGAAAGGGACAGTATTTGGCTCCCAAGAAAGCATTGACGCGAGTCCTGAAAAGAGCACAAACCACTTACGCGTCGTCATTCCACAGAGTGAAAAATGCGTCGGCAAAGACTCCGCAGCCTCTGGCCGCCTGCGCCGACTGTCTCTCAGAATAGACGCGTGTCCGCGCCCCCCAGAGAGCTTGTCAAGGGAAGGAAAGATGGAACCGAGCCCCGGCACGGTCATACTTTTCGGGGCGGGGGCCAGGAAGCCCACGGTGGGCCAGTCCGATGCCCACGCAGGGCCTGAGGGGGGTCAAGAGGCTGCTCCACCCTCTCCCCTCCTAGTGAGCGTGAGGGGGCCTGCAGGTGGGCTGTGTAACAGTGCTTCCTCTGTTTTCCTTCTCTGAATACCAAAGGCAATTAAAGTCAGCTACAGTCGACTTATCAGTGTCATGTTTTATTTTTGTTAGAAATTTTCATACATACTTCCTCCAAGTCCAGTCCTTTCATACTCTGTTTAGTTTCCAAGAGAGTTCTTTCTTCTGTCCTTCCTAGTCACTTGCATTTTGTAGGCCAATTCAGGTCAAATACTTAGAGGCCGAGAAGTGCTCCTTTCTAGATGCGTCCTCAAAGAACAGACACATCGCTTTGTGCGTTTGGTGCAAATTCGCAGAGCAGGTTGGTGGTGGTGCCTGGCAGGGGCAGCAGTGGAGATGCAGGGCGCCTCTCTCGCAAACGTTTCTTTATTTCAGCAGCACAGTTGAGTTCAAAGCAGATTTTCCTTTTATTTCACCAGTATAAAGTTGGTAAAGCCAAGGAAATGCGGCCCTAACCAAAAAGAAGTCTGCAGGAAAATCAGTCCCCAGTCAGAGGATTCTGCCTTTCTAGGTCACAGGTATTTGCTGTTCTACGTCCCTGACACGGACTTGTCCTTGTCTTGGAGTAGATGTTTATATTTTATATGTAAAAGTGAGACCTGGGTGTTGAAGGAACGTTCCTTTTGTGGCATACTGACCCTGGTTCTCTCTGCTGTTATCTAGGGTGACCTGGGACTTCACTGGGTACATTTTAACCAAGCAGTTTAAGATTTTGCTCCTCAGTGTGTTGTTTTCCACTCCATTGCCAAAGTCTTTGTTGATAAAAGATGGTGCTTGCCGTCTTCATTATGCAGCCTCTCCCTCAGCCTGGACTTCTGCGCGTGAATGTATGAGCGAGTCAGAGGACGAGGGGACACACAGAGTGCCCGGCGTGCCAACCTCTGCTGGGCACTTGCCCGTTTTACGATTCCACTGGCTTCTTTGGTAGACAAGTAGTCCATACCATTTTAAATGTTTCCTAGTGTGAATCATGATATAAAATCCTTCATTTTATATTTCATTTAAGTTAAAGAGGAAAAGAGATGGTTTGTAATATATTTTAAGCAAAGTGTTACTGTATCATACTAACAGCGATCGTTGCTGTTGGTTACTAAAGTCTTGGAAACCCATCAGGAATACTTGATGTGTCATGCAAGTTTGACTAAAATATTTACTTCAGAAATAAAGAGCATTCTTTTTATTGAATCACTTTAAGTACTAATTAGAAATTAATGACTTAACAGAAGTGCAGGTTATTTTATATTCCAAAAACCTTGGCACCTAATTCATGGGAAAAGTTTGTGGTTGTAAGCTGGCTTTGCTCTGATACGGGTCTTACTAATGCCCCCTGCTGTAAGTATAAAGACAAATAGACTAAACTATTTCGAAGTTCTGAGTAACAGTTTCTAGTTACAGTTTTTTGAGTTCTTATTTTTCTTTAGGTTTTCTTACCTTCTAATTGGCGAGCTTGTCTTACCTACTCTTTACATAGATCTATCCATAAATTATACACAGAAATTTTATTACCGTGTTAATAAGTAAGGAATAATTGTTAACTGGTTTTGGCTGCACACATTCTAAGCAGAATATTTGAGTCACCAAACATGGTTTGGAGCTATTTTAATGCACTTAACCCTGGTTGAGTCAACATTGGTGAAAGTGATTTTCTGTTACTTCAGCTCTTTCAAATCATGGTGACGACAGACATACGTGTCTGTGTTGGGTCAGCAAACTTCTGTAAGGGTCAGATAATATTTTAGACTTTGTGAGCCATACAGTCTCTGCTACTCAGTTCTGCTGTTGAAAATGGAAACAAGCATAGACCAAATGTAAATGAAGGAATGTAGCTGTGTTCCAATAAAATAAATTTATGAAATCATGGCAAGCTGGATTTGGCTCATGAGTCATGATTGTCATCGTTTGGTCTCAAGCTTAATTTGCGTAAGACCCTGTGATCTTTGCCTCTTCTCTCTGCGTTTTGAATTACATAATTCACTTTTTTAATGCAAAAAGATAACATGCATGTACACTTGTATGTATCTGTATGACCTAAAGCTGCGTATTTCATTATCTTCAAAATAGATAATGCCTTTCTAGCGTGCCCAGGTGTCCAGATGATAAGACTGTCAGGAGAGAGGCACCTTTTTCGTCCTCCGAGTGTGCTGTCAGACAGTCGTCACATCGCAAGACGACTCTAGAGTCCTCATGGAGAAGGGGCCCAGTGCGCCCGTGTGCGCAGTCATTAGCCCGCTGTCGAGGTGGGCTGCTCGCTGGCTTGGCACAGCTCTCTGGGCTGCTGCAGCCATAGGCTCTTCAATGCCCCTGGCACCCTGCGGCAAATATAGGACAGATGTCTGACTTCGGTGCTGTAGACACTGCATTTTTTGTAAATGCTTAATCCGCAGAGCATAGGGTATGTGCCTCGCTGCTGTCTGTCAGGCACCCCATTTCAGATGGCAGAAAGTCGCTGCCCCCAAAGAACAGCTGAGATCGTGAGAGGTGCAGAGAAAACAGACGTCTCCTAGAGGAGAGCTTGCCTTCCTTGTCTGGCACACCTCGCCTCGACTGGGCAGCAGTGTTTCGGAAGCACTGTGTATCCTACTGGAGTGAGAGCTTTGCACAGACTTACATTTTCATTAACAACTAAGCCATTTTCAACTGGTTTGTGTCCAGCAGAACTCGTGAAGTTATTCCTGAGAGTACACAGCATCTTCTCACTAGTGTGTCGGCGGCAGGGCACCACTCCTGAGAGAATGTTTTCTCTGGGGAGTTTGCCAATTATTTCACTGCTGGGAAATACCCCAGAGGCGGGGAGCCCGCATTCAGAGTGAGGGGGAGTGCATACTCGTGAGCTGCCTCCCGGTCAGGCGCACACTCTGGGTTGCCTCCACCTGTGTGTCTGAGCACACGCGTGCAGACACCCACACGCACACCCACACCACACGGCAGCGCCTTGTAGCTGCGTGAATGCTACACACTCCGCATGCTCAGCCCTTGGGAGGTGGTTTTTTGGAGCCCTCGGTTATTGTTGGATTCCTTAAAATATCCCCGGGTTGAACTGCTGGCTTTGGAAATCGAAACGCCATTCTTCAGCCTCACTGGTCCCAAATTCAGTTACTCCCTATACTAACAGGGGAGTCTGAGCTCCCGCCTGGGGACCCCCTGGCTGCTCCGGAACTGATTGCCAGTCATTTCTTCTCTCTGTAGTTTTTACAAATTAAAAGTAACACCATGTAGCAAAGATCAAATAAAGATGCCCTGTAAGTGAAATTTTTTGTCTTTCATTTGTAGAGACTGTGGACAATACAGTTCCGTCTCCCTGTTCACAAAACAGCTTTGGCTTTTGCTTAGTGTTCAGTCTCCACATCCAGACTGTGTCTCCGGGTTCAGCTAATACGCTCCTTGATGTCATAGAAAGCTCGCTTACGTGGCGTCTTGCTCCTGATTTAAGAAAATCCAGAGACCTGTGCGTCCATCTGGTTGCGTCACTGTGCCTGCTCCCCCAAGACTTCACCTAGGCCAGACGCTCGGATCATCAGTCATCAGGCTTTCGAGTTGCCTCGATCTCTTGCGCTCCTGCTGCCACAGTAAAAATCTCACCTGACCCTGCCTTAGTCATACAGCAAAAGTCTAGACGTAGACGGTGGCTGAGTCTGTTGATACTGGGAAGGTGAAACAGCAAAATTGGTGGGCCCAGAGGTGGGTCCTTGACAGCGCTCACCACTGCGGGGCACCACACAGGCAGGGGTGCCAGGCAACGACTGATGATTCCAGGGAACGAACGAGAAGGGTGAGAGCCGGGAGTGTCCACACGGGCTGACACAGCCAGGCCACCCTGCACTGGACAGCGTCCTCCGAGCAGGGCCTCCCCACGCTGTCTCTGGTGAACCCTCTCACCACCCCTGCACCTCTGGCCTGTACCTCAGTTCTGTATGTGTAAATATATCTTCAATCAATCAATCAATCAATCAGTTTCCCAATAAAACAGCCCAAATTAGTTCTCCTCATGGGCAAATGCCCAGCCAAGCAGGATTGGCTTGAAGAGGGATGCCAAGGCCTGGGATCTTATCCAAAGGCTTAAGGTGGGGAACCGTAGGGACGTGGGGGGCCAGACTCTCGGGCGTGGGGGGCCGGACTCTCGGAACTGGGACAGAGGAGCGGCCAGTCAGGATAACAGCCACGGCCTCTTACCGCCCCGCCCCCAGCTCTTCAAATGCCTCCACATGGCTCCAGCTGCGCCCTTCCACGCCCCCTCTCCAGCAGTGCACCCCCTTTCCAGCAGGGCCAGGGGCTAAGTCGAGCTGCAGGAGCGAGCGCCTCCTGCCTGGAGACCCCCTGCCATGTCGCCTCCTCCCCTCCGCGTTGCGCCGGCCCCCACGAGCTGCCTGCTCGAGCCGCGGGCAGGGCGGGCACACGGGCTCTGGCCTCTGCCGTCCAAGGTGCCCAGGGGGAGGGGAGGTGGTGCCCTCGCTGCTGGGGGTGGTCCTGTCAGAGGTGCTGGAACGGCGTCCGCGGGGCTACTGAGAGGAGCCCACCGACTCGGGCGGGTGACGCCACCAGGCTCGCAGGCAGCCCTTGTCGGGCCCAGGCTGGGCTCGTGGGGCACCCCACGTTTTGAAAATCTGAAGTTCCACCAAATACCATCGAGTCTTTAAGATA